GGGTATAGGGGCCCAGGCACTGGGCTGTTCTTTGACTGCTTTCCCAGGAGCATTAGCAGGGAGCTCGATTGGAACCAGCATGCTGATATGCTACAGTGACAACCTTAAGAGGCTAAGTGCATTCTTTAAAGGCCTGTAGTATCAGTTTTCTCACTTAAAATCGGAGCCAAGAGCTGGTAGTGTGGTTCAACAGGCTAATGCTCCTCCTTGCTGCACTGGTTCATGTCCTGGCTGCTCCGCTTCCCATCCGCTCCCTGCTTTTGACCTGTGAAGGCAACACTGGACAGCCCAAAGCCTTGGGACCCTGCACCTGCCTTGGAGACCTGTAAGAAGCTCTTGGCTCCTGGCTTCGAATCAGCTTAGCTCTGACCATTGCAATTATTTGGAGAATTAACCAGTGAATGTAAGATCTTTCTGTCTATCGTGTCTGTATGTTTTTTCTAATATAAGTAAATCTTTTCCTTTTTGTTTTATTTTTATTGGAAAGTCAGAACCCAAAAAGGGAAGGAGAAGCAAAGAGAAAGGTCCTCCATCTGCTGGTTCACTCTCCAAGTGGCTGCAATTGCCAGAGCTGACCCAATGCCAAGTCAGGAGCCAGGAGTTTCCTCTAGGTCTCCCATGCAGGTACAGGGACCCAAAGCTTTGGGCTATCCTCCACTTCTTTCCCAGGCCACTAGCAGGGAGCCAGAAGTGAAGTGGAACAGCTGGAACACGAACCAGCGCCCACATGATATCCTGGCATATTCAAGGTGAGGACCCTGGCCACTAGGTTATCGTGTCAGACCCAATACAAGTAAATCTTTTTTTTTTTTTTTTTTTTTTAAGATTTATTTATTTTTATTGGAAAGGCAATATACAGAGAGTAGGAGAGACAGAGAGAAGATCTTCCATCTGATGATTCACTCCCCAAGTGACCGCTGAGCTGAGCAAATCTGAAGCCAGGAGCCAGGAGCTTCTTTTGAGTCTCCCACACGGGTACAGGGTCCCAAGGCTTCGGGCCATCCTCAAATGCTTTCCCAGGCCACAGGCAGGGAGCTGGATGAGAAGTGGAGCTGTCGGGATTAGAATTGGCGCCCATATGGGATCCTGGCACATGCAAGGCGTGGACTTTAACGCCAGGCGCAATATAATAAATCTTAAAAAAAATCAGAAAGAAATATGCAATCTTAAGAGTTTTACTATGTTTCTCTTTGAAAGATTGAATTACAGATTGTTTGATCCATTCGTTCTCTCCCCAAATCGCCATAACGACTGGCCAAAGTCAGAAGCCTGGAAGTTTCATCAGTCTTGAATGTGGTTGACAGGCAGACGTACTTGGGCCGTAGTTCATCAGTTTTCCAAGGCATGTTAGCAACAAGCCAAGAAGCTGGATTAGAAAAGGACCTTTTGGGACTCAAACCCAAGCTTATACTGGGATCCAGCTTCCCATGCAGTATCCTAACCCTCTGCCCTACAACACCAGCGCATTTTAGTAATTGCCAGTAAAAAGAGCTTTTTCGAATCTGGAAGGTTAGGAGGTAAGTGGCAGGTAATCTGTTTGTGCATATACTCATCATAAGTTTGAGCAGAGTTTGTGGAAGATGCCTTTGAAAAAAACTGCATCAATTCTTTCAGCATGAACTTATCTTTCAATTTATTTTCCATTATCTTTTTCAAGTACCTTCGTTTTAGTCTCTGACCAGGTAGTCATAATGTCTGAGGTGAAAGAATGGAGGAAGGCCTGCTCTTGTCAGCTGTGGAGAGTAAGAGCTGGTTTATTGAGCATCAGATGTTGGTTAGAACTCCACAGAACTTCACATAGTGGGAATGACATCCATGGACCTAACATGGTTTCCTCTCTGCCAATCCAGGTTTCATAGTACTTCACTGTGTGAAGCCTTGTACCATGTAATGTGGGGCAGGTGTTAGGGTATATCAGGGTGAATGTCCCATATCTGAGTCCTGGTTCAAGTCCTAACCATTCCGCTTCTTACCCACCTAATGCAGTCCTGGGAGGAAGAAGGTGATGGTTCAAGTGGTTCTTGAGAAGCTGCTGCCCATGTAGGAGGCCTGGTGGAGTGCCAGCCTCCAGGCTTTGGGTTTTCCCAGCCTTGGCCATCGTACATGTTGAAAAAGTGAATCAATAAATATCTCCCTTGCTCTGCCTTTGAATAAGTAAACTTTAAAAAACAAATAAATTAATAAAGGCTGTACCAAAACATGTTGAGAAAAAAATGTGAATTATTCTTCCATTACATAAAATGTTAGAAAGCACAAAAGAAGTATTTTAATGTTATTCAGGCATTCGCTGTATTGAATGTACTACAGAATGAGCTGCCGTTTGTGCCGTGTGTGTGCCCAGCCAGGATTCTCCATCCAGGCCTCCCACATGGGTGATGGGAACCCAGTTACCTGGGCCATTATAGTGCCTCCCAGAGTCGTCTGCATGTACGTGAGGCCAGAGCCAGGACCCGCCCGCAGGCACTCTTGCTTGGGCTGTGGCATCATTAGTACTTTGGTACACACCTGCCCTTATGCACTTGATGGTAATTGAAAGAGGGGAACTGGGTTTATTTACATCATTGTCTTCATTCTAACTCTGCATTTTTGTTATATTTTTTGTACTTGACCATGTAAGTATCATAAGTTAATGTTACTTCTAATCTTTATGAAGATGTTTAGTGTCTGCTGTATTATCCATTTGGATAGACAGAGTATAATTTGCCTAAAAGTCCTATTTTCTTGACCATTCATATTTGAATCTTTCCCTAATGTAAGCAACTCTGTAGTATATCTTGATACATTATGTATGATCTTTGTGATTTTTCTTAGGATAGAGAGCCAAATCAAATTGTATAAATATTTCTTAAGTTACTGGTATTTAATAGAAACACTGTATTGCTTTTTATGTCAGTTTAATAAGTTGTCTTATCAAACCAAATAGGTTTGTTTTTATTTTTTATTTGTTGGTGTAAAAATTTGTATATCATCTCTGCCTTTAGCTTGGATGAATTTTGATATTGCTGAGTCCTCTGGGTAAAGAAGGCTGCTGAAGGAGATTTAAGGTGGATCTTTGTAGTTGCTGTCTGTGGGGATTATAATTGAATTCCATGCACATTCTCTGTCTATTCTCTACGTGGTTAGGCATCAGATTATTGATGATTGAATGTCTTCCTCTGGAGGCAAGAAGTTAGAGGAATATTGGTCTTCAAAAAATGGATTATGTCTTTAGGAGTCAAGAGAGTGTTACTTCAGAAAGAACATGGGCAGGGAATGCAACCTTGTAGCTAAAGAAGCCATATAAATATTGTTACATCTTACCTTTAATTTTACTGAAGTTCAGTCAGATTTAAGAATCACTGCTTTGGACATGTGATATAGTGTGTAGTCTGCAGCCTGACACCTTCTTGGTGAGTATGGTACAAACACAGAGCTCTGGTCCCACTGGAGACCCTCTGCATTAGAACATTTTTCTATAAAATACTTAAGTGATTTGTTTACACATTAGATTTGAAAAGCATTGCTTTGAGAAGTGGCTCTTGGTGGGACAAAACATTACAAATTAACATTTTACTTTGAGAGTGCTGGGGGCTGTAATTTATTTATTTATTTATTTTTAAGGTGTGTATATTTCATTGGAAAGACAGATTTATGGATAGAGAAAGAGCATCATCTGTCAGTTCACTACCCAAATGATCACAATGGCCAGAACTGAGCCAATCTGAAGCCAAGAGCTTATTCTGGGTCTCCCACACAGGTATAAGGTTCCAAGTTTTGGGTCATCCTCTGCCGCTTTCCCTGGTCACAGCCAGGGAGCTGGATGGAAAGGGAGCAGCCAGGACACAAACTGGCACCCATATCTATGCTTGAACATGGAGGTTTAGTCAGTTGAGCCAACACTCCAGCCCCTAATTCAGGACTTTTAAAGACTAATCAGCCTGGGCCGGCATGGTAACCTAGTGGCTGAAGTCCTCACCTTGCACATGCCAGGATCCCGTATGTTTGTTTACTGGTTCTAATCCTGGTGGCCCTACTTCCCATCCAGCTCCCTGCTTGTGGCCTGGGAAAACAGTCGAGGACAGCTCAAAGCCTTGGGACTCTGCATTCATGTAGGAAACCCAGAAGAGGCTCTTGGCGCCTGGCTTCAGATCAGTGCAGCTCTGCCTGTTGAGGCTACATTGAGTGAATCAATGGAGGGAAAATCATTGTCTCTGTTTCTCCTTTTCTCTGTATATCTGTAATAATAATAATAATAAAAAAAAAAGACTAATAAGCCTAACTATTGGTGTATGTGAGAGAGAGAGGGAGAGACAGAGAGGTCTTCCATCCACTGGCTCAATCTCCAAATGGCCACAGCAGCCATAGCTGTCCAATGCTGGGAGCCAGAAGCTTCTTTCGATACTCGCATGGGGTTGCTGGAGCTTAATGTCTTAGTACATCCTTTGCTGCTTTTCCAGACCGTTACCTGGGAGCTGGATAGGAAGTATATAGAGGCTGGGAATAAAGTGAATATCAGTATGAAATGCCAGTGTCGCTAGCAGAGAGGATTTGTGTGCTACGCTACCACATTGGCTACAAGTATTTGTGTTTTTAAGTAAGAGGCTTAAATGTGTGGTTGAATGTAGTTGTTCAGCCTAGGATGCTGACATCCCTTTTTGAATACCTGAGTTCTATACCTAGCTATGATACTTGATCACAGGTTTCTGCGTATACAGACCCTGGAAGGCTGTGATGTTAATTCAGATAGTTGGGTTCTCCTACCCCTGTGAGAGACCTGAAAAGAATTCCTGTCTCCTCGTCCTGGATTTGGATGAGCAATCTGTGTCTGACTCTCTTTTTTGCCTTTCAAAAAATTTTTGCCAGGGCTGATACATTGTCCTAGCCCAGGTTTTCACTGTTCCTGGGGCTAGATGAAGTTTTTTTGGTTGTTATTTTAATTAGGTGAGCAGTTTTTAAAAAATTCCTGGAAGCTTTGTAGAAAAGTTGCATGTTGATGTATGTTGATGATTTTTTTCCTGCAGGCTCAGACTGTCCAGGTTGCAGAAGTTGAACCACAGTCACAGCCACAACCTTCCCCAGAACTCCTGCTTCCAAACTCTTTAAAACCAGAAGAAGGGCTTGAAGTGTGGAAAAACTGGGCCCAGACCAAGAATGCTGAGCTGGAGAAGGATGCTCAGAACAGGCTGGCACCTATTGGGAGTGAGTTTTTGGGAAGGGGGGAGTGGGCTGTATATAAAACTAAAGTTCCAGGAGAACACAGTGGCAATGAAGTGGTATCTGCTTGTTGCAGGGACCAGAGAGTGGTCGCCGAAATAGTGCTGACTCTAAGAAGTAGCAGCAAGCAGGCTTGATTGGCAGATGTGCAGGATTTGAGGGTCTGCCTCAGAGCAGGCATTTTTTGCACATTTTATGCCTAGCACACCAGGGCCCAGTGACTTTTGGAATGAAAAGGAGCCAGTGAGTGTTCTCAAAAACGCTCCTTACTTGGCATTAAGGTCAAATGTTTGCACATATCACAGAAGATAGATTCTGTGTTGCGTGGCTTTCATTTCTTGGTTGTAATAATAATTTGTAAAATAATTTAGGGATGAGAGTGAGGGGTGGGAACTGTTGGTATAATCATGCCATGGTGATCACGTCTCCCATGCTGGTGATCTTTTCTGTCCCAGGCCTACCATAGGCAATATCTGCTGCCTGTTGAGGACTATGAGCAAACAGCCAAAAGATGGCTAGTGTCAGGACTCCTGCTCACCTCTGGGACTTGTGTTGCAGGGCGCCAGTTGCTACGATTTCAGGAGGATCTCATCTCTTCTGCTGTAGCCGAATTGAATTATGGGCTTTGCTTAATGACCCGGGAAGCTCGAAATGGAGAAGGTGAACCCTATGACCCAGATGTGCTTTACTACATTTTCCTGTGTATTCAAAAGGTAGGAAACAGATCTCCACAGGAACATGCTTGCACTGTGTGAACTGTGTTCTCATTGGGCATTGGCTTCTCAATAAAATGCCAGGAGGTTAAAAATAAGAAAGTTCTCTGGTGTAGGTAAGCCTCACCATGAATTTCTGCATCCCATTTCTAAGATGCTGATTCAAGTCCTAGCTTTTCACTTGTAATCTAGCTTCCTGGGAAAGTAGTGGGTGATAGCCAGGTACCTGAATCCCTGCTTTCCACATAGGCGACCCACACTGAGTTCTCCATTCCTGGCTTTGACCTGCTTGAGCCCTGGCTGGTTTAGGCATTTGGAGAGAAAACCAGCGGATACATTGTCTTCTATTCCTCCTCTGCTCATCCCTTCCCTACTGTTTTTCTCTCTCTGCCAAATAAATGATCTACTAAAAAATACAATGAAATTCTCCTTGCTATGTAAGGAGTTTCGCTATTAATATTTTAAAGATTTGTTTTTATTTGAAGGCGTATTTTACAGAGAGGAGAAATATCTTTTATCTACTGGTCATTCCTTACATAACAGCAACAGCCAGAGCTGAGAGGATCTGAAACTGGGAGCCAGGGGCTTCCTACAGGTCCCCAATGTGGGTGCAGGAGCCCAAGACCTTAGGCCATCATTTACTGCTTCCCCAGGCCACAAGCTGGGATCTGGATGGGAAGTGGAGCAGCTGGGACATAAACCGGCACCCATATGGGATGCCAGTGTCACAAAGCAGACGACTAGCTTGTTATGCTTCTGTGCTGGCCCCAAGTTTCATTATTATTTTTGAAAGAGAATTGGAGGGACAAAGATGTCTCCCATCTCCTGGTTCCCTCCCTAAATGGTTGCAGTGGCCAAGACGGGATTGGGCCAGAGCCAGGAGCTTTATCTGGGTCTCCCTTGTGAGTGACAGGTGCCGAAACGCTTGGGCCATCTTTCGCTGCTCTTCCTAGGCCATTAGCAGGGAGCTAGATTAAGTTAGGTTAGATTAGATCAGTAGAGCAACCAGAGCACAAACTGGCTCGCGAATGGGATGCCAGCATTACAAGCTGTGAATTAACAGCCTGGCACTAACCTGGCCTCAGCCTGCCCTGTTCCTGAGTTCTCTGGGAATTTGGGAATTATCTACTGCCTCTCATGGTTTCTACCAGTAGGAAGCTGGAGCTGAGCGGGGTGGGGTGGCTTGACCCCTGGCATTCTGTTTGGGGTGTGGTCGTGAAAGAGAATCACACTAATGATGAAAGCCAAACCTACTGGTTGGAATTCCTTCTGCTCTCTTGCCCTAAGGAAAGTCTGCCAGCCAATTGTTCTTTTTGTTGATTCCTACTTAGGCACCCAGTGAATTGCCTTACTTGTTGTGTCAATTCTGTGCTCTCCCAGGTCCTGGAAGGCAGGCATATTTATTTACATAGATGCTAGTTAAGCTGACATCAGCCAGGTGATGATTTTTGTTTACCAGCCTTACTTGGGTGAAATAGAATTCACAAAGCCTTCCTCCTTGATTCATATCTCAAGAATGTTATCCCAAGTCCATTGTGCAAGTGTTCCCATGCTTGGACTGTTTCAGGGGGAAATGGGAAAGAAGTGGCGATGCTCATGGGAAAAATGTTTTCATTGAAAGCCTTACTGAGGAGACTACCAATAACTTGCACTTTTTTCTTCTAGTATCTTTTTGAAAATGGGAGAGTAGATGACATTTTCTCGGATCTTTATTACGTTCGATTCACGGAGTGGCTACATGAAGTTCTGAAGGATGCCCAGCCCCGGGTCACTCCACTTGGTAAGAGTCCCCTTGGTTCTGATTGTTTGCCCTCCTGGGTTTTACAGGGGTGGTCAGCTTCTGTGGCTGGGTGTGGTACGGCGTATGGGTGAGGGGCTGTAAACCCTAAGCAGCAGCAAAGGCCTGTGCTGCTTCGCCTGATGGGGAATGGAATCTGCTCATCAGAGAACCCTGGTGGTGGAAGTGTGACAAGGCCCTGGGGCCTGCACAACTAGTGATGTAGTTGACTATCTTTTTTTTTTCCCCTGTTAGTATTTATGGTTGAAATCATGAGCAGGGGTTTTGTCTAGTATTTAAGACACCGAAATCCTACATCAAAGGACCTTGTTTGATGCCTAATTCTGGCTCCCAACTCAGCTTTCTGTGAGTGTAGAGAGTATAGTGGTGCCTGAAGTAGTTGTGTCCCTGCCTCCTGCCTGAGGGTCTGGGTAAAGTCCTCAGTTCCTGGCTCCAGCGTTTTCGGGGTGAGCCCGTGGATGGAAACTCTGTCTCTTCTTCTCAAATTTTTCCAAAAACTTAGAATTACTACAGTTATGAATGAGGAGCCGTTCCATCTGTAGAACACAATATTTTGCTTTACTTGCATTGAAATCTGGGCAGCACGTTGAATTGGAAAGAACATAAACTTTTTTTTTTCTGTTTTATAATTTTTTTTTATTATTATCATTTTATTTTACAATTCCATAGGCCTTGGGATTCCACCAAAAGTGCCTTACCCTTTACTGAGTTCCCCCATATCATTACTATAGTATAGTTCTTCATAAACAATCATATATCTATCATTGCGGGAATGGACAATGGCAGAGGGTCCAGCATCCCATTGTCAAGATAAGTTTCATTGGGAGTTCACTGCCAGTTTCATTGGGAGTTCATCTTTGGTCTGGAAGTAGAGATGCATACTGCATTGTATCCTCACATCTGGATATAATCTCCATTATAGTTACTATACATCCCTTTAAATGAGATGCCACAATATAAAATCAACGACAGGAAGAAAAATAGAAATTTATAAGAACATAAACTTTTAATAGAGATTCTGAGTCAGGGTTTTTAAAAATTATTTAATTTTCATAGTCTACATATGAGTCAGGGTTTCAATTCTTTCCTTTCCTTCCTGCCTCTCTTCTTTTCTTTCCTTTCTTCTTCAGTATGTTTCTTTGAAAAATTATGTAAAAGAATTTCTGTGTATTCTCTTCCTTATAAACTATCACATAATTTCCCATTTTGTTAGCATACTGTATTAATGTGTGTTTGTTACAGTTGGTGATCGATAGTGATTTTCATTATTCTTAAGTCTAGTAGTTGTACTGTAGGGCTGACTACTGTTTTATATTCTGTGGGTTGGATGAGCATAAGAAGATGTGTCTTCATTGTTATGGGGTCACACAGAATGTTCCACTGCACTAAATGTCCCCTGTTCTCCACCTGTTCATCCTTCCCTTGCTCGTCCCTGAGCCCCTGGCATCCTTTGATCTTTTTAACTATCTCCATAATTTTACCTTTTCCAGAGTGTCAAAAAGTTGGAATAATTTGGTATGTAGCCTTTTTAGGTTGGTTTCCTTCATTTAGCAGCAATATGCCTATTAAGATTTCCTGTTTGTCTTTTCATGGCTTGATAACTCATTTCTTTTTTTTTTTTTTTTAAGATTTATTTTTATTATTATTTTTTTTTATTGGAAAGGCGGATATACAGAGAGGAGAGACAGAGAGGAAGATCTTCCGTCCGATGATTCACTCCCCAAGTGAGCCGCAACGGGCCGATACTATGCCGATCCGAAGCCAGGAGCCTCTTCCGGGTCTCCCACGCGGGTGCAGGGTCCCAAAGCTTTGGGCCGTCCTCGACTGCTTTCCCAGGCCACAGGCAGGGAGCTGGAAGGGAAGCGGGGCTGCCGGGATTAGAACCGGCGCCCATATGGGATCCCGGGCATGCAAGGCGAGGACTTAACCACTTGCACCACCGCGCCGGGCCCGATAACTCATTTCTTTTTATCACTAAGTAATATTCCATTTTATGAATGTGTCAGGTGTTTATAGCATTCCCTTTTGAAGGACATCTTGGTTGCTTCCAGATTTTGGTGTTTATGAATAAAAATGCTGTGTAAACATTTGTGTACAAGTTTTCAGCAAAAGAATAGATCAGTGGAACAGAATAGAATATCCAGAAATAGATCCACTTAGGTATAGTAAAATTATGTTTTATAAAGGAAACAAAATAGTTGTTTTTTTTTCAAGATGTGTTTCTGGAATAATTGGACTTCCACATAGACATACCAATCCCAAAAATGAACTGAAATGGATCATAGAAAAAAAAGTAAAATACTAAACTATAAAATTCTTAGAGAGCTTGGCTTGGTGGCCTACTGGCTAAAGTCCTTGCCTTGAATGTGCTGAGATCCCATATGAGTGCCAGTTAATGTCCCAGCTGCTCCACTGCCCTTCCAGCTCCCTGCTTATGGCTTGGGAAAGCAGTAGAGGTTGGCCCAGAGCCTTGGAACCCTGCACCAGTGTGTGAGACCCAGAGGAAGCTTCGGGTTCCTGGCTTTGGATTGGCTCAGCTCCAGCTGTTGCAGCCACTTGAGCAGACCAGTGGATGCAACATCTTTCTGTTAGTCTCTCCTTCTCTCTGTGGATCTGACTTTCCAATTAAAAAAAAAAAAAATCTTAAAATTATTAGAAGGTTATCTGGAGGAAATCTACATGACTTTGGGTTTGATGGTCACCTTTTTGATAAACACAGTCTATGAAGTAAAAATGGAAGCTTCATTAAAATTTAAGTTACACCATGTGTAACAAACTTAGTAGAATGCTCCAAGAAGGCACAAACTAGGAAGGAACACATAATTTACTAAAAGACTTACCTAAAATCCACAAAGACTTCTTAAAAGTCAGCAGCAAGAGAATAGCCTGAATAAAACATAATGCAAAATATCTGAACTGCTGTGTGACCAAAGAAGAAAAGGTACTTGATGTGCCATCAAGGAGTTGAAAGCTAACACAATAAAGCAGAACTATTCATTTACCAGAGTGACTAAAATCCAGATCACAGCAGCAGATGTTGCCTTGAAGAATGGAGCAGCAGGTAGAAATGCAGAATGTCACAACCACTTTGAAAATCAGTTTGAGAATTTCTTACAAAGGTCAATATTTTTTTTCAACATTTATTTTAATGATAGAACAGTCTCTGTTGAGTTTTAATCCTGGCATTACTATGTATTGAAATGTATGCTATTAACGCTTTGATTATTTTAAGCTATTGGCTAAATAAAATTTTTGAATGCCTACTGTATACCAGGTCTTGGAGTTTATAGTCTAGTCATCCCACGTGAGCTGTAAATAAGCAGATTAAGTTGTTGGAAGCATAGAACACAAGGAATGCTAAGTGTTACGGGCATCGTTAGGGAGGCCTTGCTTAGGGACTGTCATTAGGATAGAGGCATGAGGGCAGGCATTTGGCATCGTGGTTTAAAATACCCTGCGACCTCCACATTTCGTGTGCCAGTTCTCACCGCTCCCGTCCAATTCAGCTTCAGAGGAGGCTTCAGATACTCGGGTCCCTCTGGTCTATGTGGAAGATCAGTCTGAACTGAGCCCTGGGCTTCTGGTTTTAGCCTGGCCTAACCCTGGCTGGTAGGCATTTGGGGCCTCCTTTTTCTTCCCCGTTCCCTGACTCCTCTCACTTTCTAGTAAAGTTATTAAAAGAGAAACGAGTGCATGACTCACTGTTAATGTGATTTTATAAATTTTCAAGCCAAGTGTGAGTTTTCATAGTTCAGTTTTTAGCTCTGGTTACAGAATTTTCAGCATATGTAAAAGGAAACTAGATTAATGAGTTCCCCTCATACCTCAACAGGACACTTCATGTATCCTACCACCTGTTTCCCTTCCTACATTATTTTGAAATAAATTCCACACTGTTTATCCAGGCTTTCATTATATATTTTGGTTTTGATTTGTTTGTGTGTGAATGAGGCAGGAACACAGACAGGCACAGCTCTTACGTGCTCACAGTGGCTGAGGTTGAACCAAGCCAAAACTAGGAGCAGACATTTTACAAAAAACAGCTTGATTTCGTAAAGAAGATCCAGATCTCTTACATGGGTGTTAGGAACCCAACTCTTGGACCTGCCAACTGCCAGCAGACTAGTGTTAGAAGGCATGGCCCAGCACACCTCACCATTCTGGTGCCTTGCCTCTGGAAGTTGTGTTTTGATTTTTTGTTTTTCCTTTTTAGAAGTCTATTTATTGGAAAGTTAAAGAAGGTGAAAGTGAGCAAGACCATCCAACTGCTAATTAGCTCTCCAGTGGCCTCAGTGGCCAGTGCTGGGCTAAGCTGAAACCAAAAGCCCAGTACTCCATCCAGGTCTTCCGCATAGGTGCCAGCGGCTCCAGCATCTGGGCCATCTTCTACTGCCCAGGGGCTTTAGTGGGGAGCTGCTTTGCTAGTGGAACAGCCAGACCTTGGACCAGTGCTACAGTGTGGAATGCTCACATCACAGGTAGCTGCATAAAATTCTGTGCGCCTGCAGAGCCGTGACAATATATTCTTGACGTACCACAATGACATTATATTTGCTTAACAACAACAACAAAAAAGATTCTGTATTATATCCCTTGTCTTGATGTCTCTACTAGTGTCATAAATTTCTTTATTTTGATTTATGTGAGAGGGAGAATAGCGTTTATGTATTGAAATTGACTAATGCTTTTACATCTAGTTTTAATTTTGACTTTCTCCAGTTCTCTTTTCTTTGCATTGCATGGGAGAAACTAGTCCTTCGGTTGGTTGTCAGTCTATTTTTTTCTTACTGTACCTCCTTGGTATAGTTTAAATTAGTGTTGTTTTCCCTTGTATTTATAGGTGACTGATAATTGGATATAAAGAGCAATTTTCTGTGTATGTGTATTTTTTTAGCTATGTTCATTGGTGACTTCTTACTCATCACTATGTCTATGGTAATATCTGGACGTATTGAATTTTCTAATATTTATTTATTTTTATTTGAAAGGCAGAGTTGAAGAGAGAAAAGGAGAGACAGATCTGTTTGTCCACTGCAACAACCAGGGCTGAGCTGATCTGAAACTGAGGCCCAGATGCTCCTTCAGAGTCCCCTGAGTGGGTATAGGGGCCCAAGCACTTGTGCCATCTTTTGTTGCTTTTCTGAGCACAATAGCAGAGAGCTGGTTGGGAAGTGCAGCAGTTGTGACTCAATCCTGCAGGTATATTGGCTGTCCACACTGCAGACAGCGGCTTTACTTATTTCGCCACAACTCTGGCTCCTGTTACTTCATATTGAACTTCATGGTTTGGTCATTATTTTCAGTCACAACAGTTGGGACTGGGCAAGGCCAAAGTCAGGACCCTAGAATCAGTCCAGGAATGTCATGTAGGCTGTCAGGATCCAGAGCTGTCACCCGTGCCTCCCCGTGTGCATTTTAGAAGGAAATTACAATCCCCCTGGAGCTAGGAACTGAAGCCAGACACACGCCTGTGGGGCATGGGCATTTCACAGGGCAGGCTTCCCTTTCCTGTCGGTGCCTTACTGCTACTATTTGAGAGCAGAGGAAGAATATATTTTGTTTTTAATAAAATGTTATTTTGACACATGATTTCTATGCTCAAGTTTCTGTATCTCCATTCTCCCATGACAAGTCCTGGCACTCGGGCATTAAAGTTGATTTAAAATTGTGTTGCTGAACAACTAAGATGAGGGGATCATAACAAAGGGGTTAGGTGGCAGCCACAAACCCAGAGAAGTGAACTAAGTGACAGTCTGTAGGCAGATGTCCCTAAGACAGATCCCTTCCTGAGGAGGGCTGCTGTGAGCAGGAAGGCTTCTCATTGGCCCACGTCGCACTCTAACCTCCATAGTGTGCGCTAAGCTACACTAGTGTACTTAAAGAAACAGAAGTACACTGATGTCGTTAGAGGGCCAGTTTTGGCAAGAATAGAATCGGGCGATGTTGAGCAAAATGTGGGTGTTTTAGTTTTGGTTTGTTTTTTAAAGGTCTATTTTTATTGAAAGGCAGATTTTATAGAGAAAAAGACAGAAAAATCCTTCATCTCCTGGTTCACTCCCCAAGTGGCCACGACAGCTGGAGTTGAGCCAATCCAAAGCCAAGAGCCACGAGGTTTTTCTGGGTCACCCATACAGGTGCAGGGTCTCAAGGCTTTGGGTCGTCCTCTACTGCTATTCCAGGCCACAGTCAGGGAGTTGGATGGGAAGCAGAGCAGCCAGGACATGAACATGGTGCCCATATGGGACCCTGGCACGTGTAAGGGAGAATTTAGCCACTAGGCCATTGCCTGAGGCCAAGAATGTTTCTTTGTGAATGGTGTCACCCTCACTGCCTTAATAAATGCTGAGACTGCAAGAACATCCTGGTGTGTGTGCCATTCCCGGGACCCCTGTGTACAGGCACACACACTGTCTGCTGAGTAAAGCACATGCAGGTGCTTGGTGCGCGTGCCAAGTATCCTGTTCCTTTGGCGCAGACATGGCTGCCTAAGGCTGTCTTTGAAACTGTTGCCTTTGCCCCTTCTTACCTCTGTGTTCCTTGGTGAACTGGGTTCTTAGAGTTAAGTCTGCTCTTTAGGGAGAAGCTTACAATTATGTCAGTCTCCCTTTTTTCTAGAGAGGAGATGAAAATGAGCTTGCCTTGTAGAGATTGCAGACCCACAGAAATTTGATAAAGGCCAGCAAGGGCGTGCACCCTAGCCCTTGGGTCCTGCACGCTGTGGAAACATGGAAACTCCCCCATTTCAAAAAAATAATCATGTATGCAGGATTGGCTTTACATTTTTAGGTAATTTATTCTTCGCAAGGTCAATTATTGATCCCTGTGTTGGCCTTGGGTTAGAGGAAGAATTTTTTAGATAGCAGCAATCATGCAGAGCTGTGGTTCTCACCATGTGGTTGAGCAGCAGCCACAGCGTATCAGGTGCTGTGCCATAAGCTTAAGTCGAGACCCAGCCATATGTGTTCTACCTACAACACTCTAGGGAGAGTTGAAAAAAACCTAATGAAACCTGTCCTCTTCCCATATATGGTCCTGTGCCTTGGAGGGCCCGCCTGCCATCACCTGTTGTAGCAGTACTCTATTCCTCCTAGGCTATGTCCTGCCCAGCCACGTGACTGAGGAGATGCTGTGGGAGTGCAAGCAGCTTGGCGCTCACTCCCCCTCCACCCTGCTGACCACCCTCATGTTCTTTAACACCAAGTAAGTGTTCTAGAGGCTCCATACTCAGCACTGCTGGCATCTGCCCAGCGAGGACAGTGGAAACTGCAGGAGGACCTGTGAATTCCTCTGGCACATATTTGAGAACTTTTGGGTTACTGAAAGCCTCTAGCTGCACTTGGCTGTGCTTTTTTTTTTTTTTTCATTTCTTTGTGTGTGTGTGTGTGTGTGTGTGTGTGTGTGTGTGTGTGTGGTATTTGATGAGGCAGACAACCTTGTCAAAAACCTTTCCATGCATCTTGATGTGTCTCCTCTGCTGGACACTGTGCTTGGATGTGGGCCTGCCCAGACCCTGGGAGTGTGGGCAGTGGCTCCTCTGCAGCGCCACTGGGTGGAGGGCAAATCATGGTATCCTCCTGGCACCCCTCCCTCTGCCTTGCTTTCACTTGTGGTCCAGGTACTTCCTGTTGAAGACAGTGGACCAGCACATGAAGCTGGCCTTCTCCAAGGTCTTACGGCAAACTAAGAAGAACCCCTCCAATCCCAAGGATAAAAGCACCAGTATTCGGTACCTGAAGGCTCTTGGGATCCACCAGACTGGCCAGAAAGGTAGGAAGAGGAGGCAGAAGGGCAAAGCAAGTGCTTTATGTGCAGTCCCAGCCCATTCAACCAACTTCCCTTGGGTTTGAAACTGCCAATGACTCCTGCCTTTCTCCCCGTTCCCTCGAGCTCCCCAGGTGGGGTGTTTGCCTAGCTCATGCATGCCTGTGGTTGGGGTGGGTTTTTTGTTTTTTGTTTTTTTTATAGTTACAGATGACATGTACGCAGAACAGACAGAAAATCCAGAGAATCCCCTGAGGTGTCCCATCAAGCTCTACGATTTCTACCTCTTTAAATGGTATGGAGGCTTTACTGTGACTGCCTAACTCCGTGTGTGTGTGTGTGTGCGTGCGCATTGTGCTCAGGTGCATGTCTTAACAGAGAGACAGTCTAGTCACAAACATGGTAAGAAACACTCCTAATATTAAATATAGATGCAATCTTGCTGATTTACCTAGAATCTGTTGTGGGCCCAGCATTGTGATTCCCGAGCGAACCTTCCCTGGTTTGCTGTGTCCTTTGACACAGAGGGTGTGAAGGTAGAGAAAGGCGCCTTCCTCCTCTGTGCAGCATTGCCCTGCGTTTTCTAAGACCTGTGCTTTTGTCACTGCTGCCCTGAAGTCCTCTCACCACTTGCTTCCACTTCTCTTTGCACAGCAACACACAAATGATTTTTCTAGCTTTTGGTCTTAGGATGTCACTTAGACTAAAACTTTGGAAGCCTGGCTTTTCTCACTCTGGGTTTGCACGTGGCCGACAAGGCCTTCCATGCATGCCCTCCCCCTTGCTCCCCTTGGTCTGCGGAGCACTTGGTGTCCAGCCACCAGCTTCTCTCAAGTGTGTCAATGTTTCCTCCACATTTCCATGTCACCTCCCTGTTCCCTCTCAACTCTTACCAGCAGTTTATGTGTTTGTGTAACAACTTAGTTGCTATTTCCATTCTTTTCTGTTTGCTCCATGACAAAGGAGCTGTTCTCATTTTTTTTTCCTTTTTCCTTTTTTTTTTATTAGACTTTTGACAACTTTTACATAATTAATTAGGGTAAAAAGGTTCAAGGGCTACAGGAAAGTGGGTAAGACTATTATTTCCTCATTGTTTCCTTCATGTATCTGAGGTAAAGGGGGATATTAAGGGAGAAGCCTGACCCAGTCTCCCACCCACCCCAGGTCCCTGATGTGGGGCATGCTCCAAGATTCTTGCTCAAGTGGAAGAATGAACCTCTTCAGCTAGCCCAGTGGGGCTAGTATTTCCACAGGGTTTGGCCCACACATCCCCCACAGAATCTACCCCCGGATATGATTCTCTCATGTTCTACTTAATGTCATGGCCCTGCCTATATGAACCATTTGCTAAACCATCATCATGTCAGGTAATACAATATGATCCTGCTAGACAAGCCCCAAGCCTTAGCTTTTGCATGGACTGATGTTCAGTGGTCATCATTGTTCAGTGATTACAAGTACTACACAGGATTTAAAAGAATTTGGTGTATCAGTCTTATCCATAAAGATTGACATCCCAGAAGTACAGTTGGTTTGACATGGAGATACCTAAGCAGCAATTCAAAGCTCCAAAACCCCAGAGCTGTCCGCTGGGCGGCCAGCAGGTGGAGCCTGGTGCCAAATGGCACACTGGCCGCCCAGGGACAGGTCACCGCGTGGACACGGTGGCTGGAATCAGAGCTCTGAGTATGGAGACAGTCCCAGCCTGACACCCACGTGTTCTCATTTCTTTATCATCAGCACCTAGTATAGACCTGGCCCACATTGGCCAGTCAGTCAATCTTGAATGGATGGATGAGTAACTATTACAGGATTGAGTGTGCTAAGTATCCAGTAGACAGCAGCCACAGCAGTGGGTGGTACAGCCTTAGTGGAGAGAGCAAATTGTGGGCACAGACTTGCCGGTAAACCTGAGCTGCAAAGCTGGCTCTCTTGGAAGCTCAGATGAACTCACATCCATGTGCCCAGGGATCCCAACCCAAATGCAGCCGGTGATGGATGGCAGCTGGCACTAGAGAAGCAGGGGCAGACTGCTGGCAGCCTGCACATGGGTGGAGATGGGGGCTGGCTTCGTGGAGCTCAGGAGCTGAGCCACCCTGCACAGCTGCTGCCTGGCCTTCCCATGTTTCGCAGATAGCATTTGAATGTGTAAGGGCAATGGGTGGTGGGTGTAGAACTGTTTCCCTGCTCTTACCAGCTCTTCTTCAGCCCCCAGAGCGTGAAAGGCCGGAATGACACCTTTTATCTGACCCCCGAGCCGGTGGTGGCCCCCAACAGCCCGATCTGGTACTCTGTGCAGCCCATCAGCCGCGAGCAAATGGGCCAGATGCTGACCCGCATCCTGGTGATCCGAGAGATTCAAGAGGCCATCGCCGTGGCCAGCGCCAGCACCATGCACTGAGGGGCCAGGAGGAACCGACAGACGACAGACGTCACACTAAGAAGAGGCCACCATCTTTCCTTTTTTCTTTTTTATTGGTGTAGTTATGAAGCCCCTGAGGCTGCTTCTGTTTAAAATGTAAAAGAACACTCAGCCCCCTTTGCATCTTCAGACCTGCAGCCAACTTGACTCCTAAGCCCACAGGGCTCTGAGTTTCCAGATGTTCTAGAAAGTTGCTGATGGAGTTTTCTTTTTGCCTGGGGCTTAGTGAGAAGGCCTGGACTGTTAGGAGACTGCGGCTCCTTGCTTTCCTCCAGAAAGATGGAACCTGATGACGGATCGACCCTCCAGGCCATCTCCCCAGCTGGCTTCCTCCCTGGACTGGAGGTGGCACCCACCCCAGAGGAGCCAAGTTCTTTTCTTTCTTCATGCTCAAACATAAACTTAGCATCTTAAATGAAGAAAAATGAGGGGATCTTCAATTATGATTTATTACAGACAATTTCTATTTCACCCTCCTTGATGACAAGTGACATTTTAGCTGTAAAAGTAAAAACTTTACCATGCCTTTTTTGTTTTGTTTTGGCCTAACAATGAGGCCTTAAACTTGGGGCCCCTGTGCCTGATGGAATTCTTGTAACATACACTCGTGTATCATATAGAGATACCACTCTGTTTCTCTTATGTATTCTTACTCTAGTTGTTTATTAAGAATGACAAGCACGTCTTTTCAACCTGCGAGTGCACGACGCGTCTTTATTTGGGGTGGAATGTGGCGGCCAGTGGCCTTCCCTGCTGCCCAGGTCCTGCGGGGAGGGCGGGGGAGGAGCGGCTCGGCGCGGCGCGTGCGCAGATCCCGCGGGGCGGGCCCTAGCCGCTGGTCCCGCCCCTGCGCGGTGCGTGGTGACGTCAGCAGCGGGCGCGGCGCAGTGACGAAATAGGCTGGTTTATATTGGCGCGGCCAGGCGGCGGAGGCCTCTGCGGCGCGGTCCTCGGAGACACGCGGCGCTCGGCGTGAGCCATGGCCGACTACCTCATCAGTGGCGGCACGTCCTATGTTCCGGACGATGGGCTCACCGCTCAGCAGCTCTTCAACTGCGGGGACGGCCTTACCTACAAGTGCGGGACCGCGGGGCTCTCCCGAGCGAGGAGAGGGGGCGGCATGCAGGGCAGATGGGGGTTCAGGCGGGCGCTGGAGCACGGGCCCCGGGTATTGGCCACCCATCCCGGGAGGGGATACTGCGATTGGGACAGGGGGTGGGGGTAAGGGTTTGGGATTCCAGGATAAATTCCGTCCTTTGGACACATGCAATTGCCAGGGTTTCAGTAGCACTGATGACAGTTCGGTGGCAGGAAATATCCCCCAGTCCCCATCTCCACCTTGCGTCGCGACTTGTCTGTGGTGACATGGCCCTGTCAGCGTCCCGATGCTCCCAGGCTCCGTGGGGGTAAGCCTCCTGCTTCCGTGAGCTGACAGCCCTCTACCTCCATTGAATCCCCTCTCCTACAGCGACTTTCTCATCCTGCCCGGGTACATCGACTTCACGGCAGACCAAGTGGTGAGTATGAGTAGGCACCTCAGTGGGCTGGGCAAGCCATGGTCACCTGATCTTGGATCCCGCACTGAGGTGGGCTTGGGGGCAGATGCTGGCCAGTGGGTAGTGCCCACATGGTGCCTGTCAGAGAGGCGCTGTACCCCATTGGTGGCCCTGATCTCTGCAGGACCTGACCTCTGCCCTGACCAAGAAGATCACCCTCAAGACCCCACTTGTTTCCTCCCCGATGGATACCGTCACTGAGGCTGGCATGGCCATAGCAATGGCGGTAAGTTCCCCTGAGCCATAGAGGACAGCCCCTGGCTCCCCTGGCCCAGGCGTGCCTGTGGTCGCTCACTCCCTCTCCCGTCTCTTCATCCTGTAGCTCACAGGCGGTATTGGCTTTATCCATCACAACTGCACACCTGAGTTCCAGGCAAACGAAGTGCGCAAAGTGAAGGTCAGACATGGAGTGTGGCCACCAGCTCATGGGAATTGCAGTGAGATGGAATTTGGGTGGGAAAGGGAGGGGTTAGTCGCACTAATCTACAACCTTGTTGCCTGCTGTGATGTTTATCATGGAGGAGACTGGCCCAAGACCCCCTCTTATGGTGGCAGAAGGGCAGTAGGTGAACGCTCTGTGTCACTTGTGTCATGTTAGGCAACAGCGTGACCTGCTCTGCATCTGTCAAAGGGCATGTAAGACAGAGCCTGAGTTGAGCAGTCTAAAGCCAAGATAACCTCTCTTGCTGTCCTTTCCAGAAATACGAACAGGGATTCATCACAGACCCCGTGGTCCTCAGCCCCAAGGACCGGGTGCGGGATGTGTTTGAGGCCAAAGCACGGCATGGCTTCTGCGGAATCCCCATCACGGACACAGGGCGCATGGGCAGCCGCTTGGTGGGCATCATATCCTCACGGGACATTGATTTTCTCAAGGAGGAAGAGCACGACCGCTTCCTGGAGGAGGTGAGTACCGTGGCAGCACCCCACGGGGAGGCCGCCTCTGCCATCTTATCATGCTTCCATCCAGAAAGACGCCTGCCTGTCCTGGTTTCTGTCCTTATTGTGCTCAATTCGTTGTCCTGCAACCCGTTTTGCCTGTCACTGCGTCCATGGCTTCCCTGGATCCATAAGCCCTCCTCCCTGGTTGGGCTCAAGTTGTGGGGTGGTCTGACTTGAGATGAGCCCGTCCTCACTTCCCACTGTCCTAGATCATGACGAAGCGGGAAGACCTGGTGGTCGCCCCTGCAGGCATCACACTGAAGGAGGCCAATGAAATTCTGCAGCGCAGCAAGAAGGGTAAGTGCCAGCCAGGGTGGGCCAGGAACAAGACAGGTGCTCATGCTAATTGACACCTTTCTGTCGTCACAGGAAAGCTGCCCATTGTCAATGAAGACGATGAGCTGGTGGCCATCATTGCCCGGACTGACCTAAAGAAGAATCGGGACTACCCACTGGCTTCCAAAGATGCCAAGAAGCAGCTGCTGTGTGGGGCAGCCATCGGTACACATGAGGACGACAAGTACCGGCTGGATTTGCTGGCCCAAGCAGGGGTGGACGTCGTCGTCCTAGTGAGCTGCGGAAAGGGCAGGGCGGGAGGGGCGGCTGCCTGTCTGGGTCTGACAGGAACTCCTTCCTGTTCCAGGATTCCTCCCAGGGCAACTCCATCTTCCAGATCAACATGATCAAGTACATCAAAGAGAAATATCCCAATCTCCAAGTAATTGGAGGCAATGGTGAGGCCAGGCTGCACTGAATGAAGGCGGCCAGGTGGGGGCGCTCTGTCTCCACTGGGGCTTCAACCCTGGATTTCCCTCCATTTCCCTGCAGTGGTCACTGCTGCCCAGGCCAAGAACCTCATTGATGCCGGAGTGGATGCCCTGCGGGTGGGCATGGGAAGTGGCTCCATCTGCATCACCCAAGAAGGTAAGTTCCCACCTGGATAGCCCACAGAGAGCCTGGCTTCATGCCCCTCCTGCCCTCCTAAGGGTCCAACAGGCCAACTGGATGCATAGCAGCAAGACAAGTTCCTGTCGCCCTTCTCCTGCCACCCCTGCCTAGCCTGGCCTCCTGCTCTTGCTCCGCGCCCTCTCTAAACTCTGGTCTGTTTGTTTTATTTAGTGGCTCCCAAGATCCCTCCTGACATAAAGTCCCACAGCCCCAAATGCCCTTCTACTGTCTCGGGCTGCTATAGTAAGTCCGGCCTGGCCCCCTGGCCGGCCCAGCTGCCCACTGCCCGGCTGCTTGGTTGACTGTAGCTGTAGCTCCCAGGGTTTGTGGTGCTAACGGGTGGGCAGGGCAATCTGATGTACAGACCATGGTTTTGGGGCTGCTTGAGATCATAGCTCTTCCTGGGCACTTACAGGGGACAGGCCCACCCTCCCCTGGCAGGCCACGCTTTGGCAGCAGCTCTAGAGCCTATTGAAATCCTCCTCCATGACCACTGCCCTCATCCTGCTTTAGCTGCCTAAAACACGGGGACAAGTGCTGGGCCTGCCTCAGGCCCCTGGGAACTAACCGCACGGTGCCCCCTGCCCAGCCTGACACCAGCTGGGCGGAACTTCCCTGGCTGCCAAGCCTGCATGTGCCTGCGGCTGCCCTGGGCCCTGCACACATGCACGCGCACTTGCAGGGCTAAGTGGAAAGCCGCACAGCTGTTGGGACTGTTGCAGGCAGGTGGGGCAGTGGCCATCCCACACATCCCTGTGGCTGCTGAGCCACAGTTCTAGCGCAGGTGTAGCTGACAACGCCAGAGTGCTGAGTGTGGAGCCAGGGGGCCCTTGGCCTGCGCCCTTCCAGCCCCACCTCTGGTTCTCCCTCTCAACAGTGCTGGCCTGCGGGCGGCCCCAAGCAACAGCAGTCTATAAGGTGTCCGAATACGCGCGGCGTTTTGGTGTGCCAGTCATTGCAGATGGAGGCATCCAGAATGTGGGTCACATCGCCAAAGCTTTGGCCCTTGGGGCTTCCACAGGTGAGGGCCAGTGCCCCTGCAGCCCTGCAACACCCCCTGTCCCGGCTGCACAGCCACCGACCTGAGCACTCTGTCCACAGTAATGATGGGTTCCCTGCTGGCCGCCACCACTGAAGCCCCTGGGGAGTACTTCTTCTCTGATGGGATTCGGCTGAAGAAGTACCGGGGCATGGGTTCCCTGGACGCCATGGACAAGCACCTCAGCAGCCAGAACCGCTACTTCAGGTGAGACGTGGACCCATCCCTGCCAGCCTGGGCCCAGCTGTGTGCAGATAGTCCACTCTCACGTGGCCTTTCTCCCTGCAGCGAAGCGGACAAAATCAAAGTGGCCCAAGGGGTCTCGGGGGCTGTGCAGGACAAAGGGTCCATCCACAAGTTCGTCCCATACCTCATTGCCGGCATCCAGCACTCCTGCCAAGACATTGGTGCCAAGAGCTTAACTCAAGTCCGGTGAGCCTGGGCAGCCAGGGCGGGGGAAGCTGGGCTCGGCCCCAGCCAGCTGCCCCACCTGACACCTGTCCTCCACAGAGCCATGATGTATTCTGGGGAGCTCAAGTTTGAGAAGAGGACCTCCTCGGCACAGGTGGAAGGCGGTGTCCACAGCCTCCACTCGTGAGTGTTGGTACTGGGTGGGATCTTGCCACACCTGCCGTAGCTGCTCCTGCCCCTGCCTCACAGGTGGTCTCTGTCCGCAGGTATGAGAAGCGGCTTTTCTGAACAGGGATCCAATCCAGCACACCTGCCTTGGTTTTACAATAAAAGCTTGAAAAGAATATATAAATAAACGTTCTGTCTTGTCTTTGAGTACTCCTCCAGCTGTGAACACAGCACCCTCTGTCCAGGGCTGATCTTTGGGTCGGGCCCATGGGTCTTGCGGGCCGCTGTGGGCAGCTCAGGCTTGCCGGGAGCCACAGCAGTCCCCAGAACTGGAGTCCAGATGCCACACGGCCTGGCCCCGGAGTCAGACCTCACGGCACCATGTTTGGGCACAGGGTTTGGGTACCTGCACATGGCTGGGTAACCTGGTGGAGATCCAGGCTTCTGGGTGAAGCAGAGCCCAGCATTGCAAGCCTTTCGAATACATGTTTAAAAACATATATACCTGTACATCACTAACCAGGTCGGAAATACAGGCACAGCCTTCCCGTCTTCAGGTTCCTCCATGTCCCCCACGCCCAGTCACAATACCCCACTAAGCCATCCACCCCTGGTCAGCAACACAAAAACCTGGTGCAAAGTGAGAGTATAAATTATCACATTATTAACATCCGCTGCTGGCAGCCCTCGCCCTCTGGGACAACCCAGTGGTTCACTCCGCGGCTTCGACCTGCAAGCAGGTCTCTCCAGGGGGAGGGATGAGAGCCGCTGCCGTCACCCGGCCCTCGTGACACAGGAAGTTGAAGGTTGCACAGGCATTGGGCTGCAAAGGAAAGGCCAGCGTGAGCCCACCACGCTGGGCGGCGAGGCCCGGGCTCCCCGCATCCTCCCCGGGCGGCCCACTGGACACCTACCGTGTCCTGCACTTCCACGGACAGACCGCGCTGCCTCAGCGCTCGCAGGACCGCGGGCTGCAGCCGCTCTGTCCGGTTCCCGGTGCCCACCACGACAATCTCTAGGGGAGGGGCTGGGGTCACAGCCAGGTCCGCTGAGACCCTGGAGGGAACCCCAAACCCACTGCCCTCCCCGCGGCACCCCCCATACCTATCCGGGGTTCCAGCAGCCAGAAGAGGGAGAAGCTCTCCTCCGTGATGTCCCGGTGGGATCCCACCTGTGCGGGAGGAGAGGCGGAGACGGCATCAACGGGACGAGCGGCAGCTGCAGCCTCGCCCTCCCCGGGTTGCGGGACGCCGCCTCACGTTCCACTGCACCACGGTGTGCGGCAGCAGCGCGCAGGGGCCCAGCACGCGGTTCCCGTTGACCGTGAAGCCGCGGCTGCTGTAGCTGTCGATGTACATGACGTGAGGAGCCTCGCGCTGCAGCAACGAGATGCGCGTCCGCTGGTACAACTCGTCGTCGGCCGGCGAGAGCCGGTGTCCGCGCCGCGGGGCCCTGCGGGGGCGCGGGGAGGGTCAGGGCGCTGCGGGGCGCGGGAGCGGCCGGCCCTGCGCGAGCCCTGGCCGTCGGGCTGCCTCAGGCCCGGACTCACCCGGGCAGCGCACAGCGAAGCGCGGGTCTCAGGCGGGGCAGGCGGCGGAGCGCGGTGGCGGCGGCCATGGCGGACCCTCGGCGGGCCTGGGTGGTGCGGGCCGCCGCGCCTCGAGCGCCCCCAGCGGCCCGGAGGGCGCCCCGCACGCTCGGCCGGCGCCCCGCGTCCGCGCAGGGCGTTTCCCACGCTCGGGTGTCAGCACCTGCCGTCCGGCCCGCCCGCTGCCCACAGTCCCCGGGGACTCGGGGCAGCTGGTGGTGCGGTTGCCATGACGACCCCGCGGGGGCTGGGTGCGCTCAGACGCGGGGCCCCTGGGGGAGGGCGGGAGCGCACCTGGCCGAGTCCCGCACACCTGGACGGGGCGTGGCGCCCTAATCCCGGGCTCCGGCGCGGGGCGCTCGGGTCGGGTTTCCCCTCTCGGCCAGCCGCCGAGCCACGCCCCTTTCCAACCGTCACCCGCGCGACCGTTAGCGGCGTCGCCGCACGCTGCGGGAGGGGCGTGGCCGCGCGCCGATTGGCTCCTGGCGAGCGCGAGGGGGCGTGGCCAGGCGGTTTCGCCATAAACTGGCTCCCAGGCTTTGGGCGGCCAGAACCGGCGTCGGAAGGGCCACAGCGTGTTCTACTCGGTCGCGCCAGGTCTGGGAGCGACCGGCCCAAACCGGACCAGACTCGAACTGGACCGCGTCCGGAGCGACGTCCGGGCCTCGCTCGGTCTGCTTGCATTCCGAGACGCTCCCCTCGCACCCGGTCTTGATCCGCGTCCAGGGCCTACATGGCGGGAGGAGCTGGCTCCCGCTCGGGGTTCGGGCATCTCGGCCGTGTGGCGGCCTCGGGGGGACGTTGTCGCGTTCGCTCCCCGTGCGGTCCGGGCGGGCGGGAGGAGCGGCACCCAAGGGCCCTTCCCGGCTCCCGCCGCTGCGTGTGTGCGTGTCGGGGAGCGGGTCCCTTGGCGGCCCCCGGGCGCTGGCCGGCGCACCGGACAAAGGGGGTGTCCTCCCAGGGCGGACGCGCGGCTTGACTTCCTCTCTGGCCCCACGGGCGCGCTTCCCTTCTTGGCGGTCTCTGAAACCCGCCCTGCCGTGCTCACGGCACCGGGGCCCGGCCTGCGCGGGACCCAGCAGGGCTAATCCTGCCCGGGGATGTAATCCGGATCGGGACCCGCTCCCAAGGGGAGGGCCCCGTGCTGCCCTCCCATTGTTCTGGGCGCAGGTGAGCGTCTCTGTTCCCGCTGGACTCCTGTTGCTCTCTCCCGGGCCCGCCCCCTGGGACTTAGGCTGGGCGGGTTCCGGGTTGGCCCTTAGGGGGCCAGTGGACCCGGGGGGGGGGCAGGAGCCCTACTGCAGCAGCTGGACAGCGGGCAACGGAATCCCAAAAGCAGCTGTTGTCTCGAGAGCATTCCAGCTGCGCTTGGATTTCGTTCCCTGCTTTCCTGCCCGAGCAGCACCCAGGCCCGGCTGGGGGAGCCCCTGGTGCCCCTGTCCCGTCCTCCCGGACAAGGCTCTGGGCCAGCGGGCTCGCACGTTGTCGAGGCGGGACTTGAACCCGCAAGCAGCGCTGCAGGCCGGCGGCGGGTCCCACAGGGCCGCCTCAGCCCACAGCCCGCTAAAGATAGCCCTTCACTTCCTGGGGAAAAACCGCCCCAACGGTCTGTGCAGACCCGGCTGGGCGGCGGGCTCGGGAGCTCGCGGCATGGAAAGCGCTTTGGAATGACACGATCACTCCCGTTGAGTGGGCACCCGGGAAGCCATCGGGAATGTCGTGTCCGCCCAGTGCTCTTTCGGCGCCTCTCGGCGGGGCCCCCCTCGCCAAGTTTCCCCATGTCCCAGGGCAGAGCGTGCAGGGGTGGGTGTGTGCACCCCGGGGGAGAAGGGCTGGCTGGGGCTCTCTCCCCGAAACAAGCCGGAGGTCTCCACTGTGGTACCCCAGGCTGACAGAGAAATATGCAAAGCTAGAGATCCTCTTCCCCTCAAGGGCCAAGAGAGGAAGGTGGGCGATTTCATCGGACACTGGTTGGTAATAACTACAACCCTGTATCTTCAGCAAAGAAGATCTTGTTTGAAACTGAACCCGGCACGGTAGCCTAGTGGCTAAAGTCTTGGGCTTGCACGTGCGGGTCCCATGTGCCGGCCTGGGAAAGCAGTGGAGGAGGCGCCTTGCCCTGGATTGGCTGACTCGTCTTAGGGAGTGAACCAGCGGAAGGATCATTTGTCTCCTCTCTACATGTATATCTGCCTTTCTAATAAAAATAAATTGTGAAAAACACTTAACAACCGCGGTTCTCAATGCGTTTTTTCTAAGTAGAGATTCTTCCAATGCCAACTCATTTGGTGCTTTTTGACGTTTGAGTCACGTGTAAAATGGGGGAAGTTGAGCGCTGCTGTAACCACACAGATCGCGAAGAGGCCGAGTCCTACTCGAGGTGAGGATTGCCAGGGCGGACGCGGGACTCTGGGCGCACCTGCCGGCCCCGCCCCGGAAGTCCTGTCTCCCCACATCCGCCTCCGCTCCCGCCTTCCGGTCGCCATGGCGACTGGGCGCCTCGGGCTCGGGGAGACGCTGGGGGCCCTGAACGCAGCGCTGGGCGCCGGCGACCCGCTCTGGTTCAAGGAGACGCACGCCCGGCACCTGCGCGCCCGCGACTTCCTGGCGCCGCGGGGCGCTCTGCGGGCGCGCTTCGGGGACGGGCAGGTGAGCGGAGCCCCCGGAGCGCACAGGCCGAGGCGGAGGCCTGCCCGGCGGCCGCTCACCCGCCCGTCCCCCGCAGGTCCCCGAGCATGTCCTCCGGGCCGTCGCCGGCCTGCAGGGCCCCGGGGTCGCCCCCGTGCTGCGCTGCGCGCCGACCCCCGCGGGCCTGTCTCTCCAGCTGCAGCGGCCCGCGGTCTTTGAACGGGTCCTGGGCGCCGTGGCCACCTATGCCGCGCCCTCCTCGTCCGCCTCTCCGGGCCCGCGCGTCGTGCTGCACTGCCCCGCCCTGCGCCGCGCCCCGGGCGCCCTCCGCCTGAGCCAGCTGCGGGCGGTGCTCGTGGCGGACCACCTGGCGAGGGTGCTGCGTGCTGCAAGGTGAGCAGGGGCGGGGGACCCTCGGGGCGGAGAGCAGCACCGGGGCGGCGGGCTGAGGCGGCCGCCTTCGCTTCGCAGGGTGTGTGTGCGCCTGGTGCCCGCCGTGCGGGACCCGCACCTGCTGGCCTTCCTGCAGCAGCTGCACGTGGACTGGCCGGCTGCCTCGCGGAGGGCCTCGCCGGAAGCCCTGCGGAGCCGCGCCTTGGCCCAGCTGCCCCGGGCTCCCAACGCGGAGGTGCTGCCGCCCGGCGTGCTAGGCCGACTGTGCCTGAAGGAGCTGCTGGACGAGCGGGGCCGCGCGGCGGGCTATGACCCCAGCCTGGACAGCTGTCTGGGTAGGACGTGCGACCGGTCAGGGCGGGGCGGGGCGCACGGTGTGCGGAGGAGAGTGAGGCGTCCACTCACGGCCGCGGGGCGTGTCTTTCAGTGACGGAGGATCTGCTGTCTGTGCTGGCTGAACTGCAGGAGGCGGTGCAGGAGACTGGCCCCCATGGCCCCGGCAGCGAGGCTGCCCTGCCCGACCTCCCCGCTCCCCGGGCTGCAGCCCCAGGCGCTGGTGTCCAGAGCTGCGTAGTTGTGCATGTGGTGAGCTGTGAAGAGGACTTTCAGCAACAGAAATTGGACCTGCTCTGGCAGAAGCTGGATGACCAGGCCCCTCTCAGACAGGTGAGTCAGGGATGGTGGAGCCTCCGAGGAGGTCAAGTCCAAGGGAGGGTTGCGGAACTAAAATTGGCCACAGTCAGCCCAGCCATGGTGAGTTGGGTGCAGGGACTCAGGCACTGCTGGCTCCACCCACCTCCAGCTCTTATGCCCCAACCCCCATTTTCAAATGTTTTTACTTGAAAATGGACACTAATAGTTTGTCTTGGAACTTGGACCATTCCCCAAATGGTCGCATCAGGCAGGACCAGAGATGACCCCAGAGGGAGGCAGCAGAGCTGGGTGATACTGTTCAGAGCAGGTGCACACACCCAGGCCGTGAGCCAGCAGGTGGAGGCTCTGCGCCCAGCTCCAAGCATCGTGGTCTGGGGGCCCTGGGGGCCTCTGCAGTCCTAGGCTCCTCACACACTCGCTGGAGCATTGTGCCAAGGGCTCAGCCCCTGCTCTGTCCCTAACAGAAGCACCTGATCTGCGGCCCTGTGAAAGCTGCTGGCGCTCCCTCTGCTCTCAGTGTCCCCGACTACTTCACGTGAGTGAAACTCCAGGGCAGGCAAGGCTGAGCTGGTCATTGCTGATGGGCAGGGCCTGTGGCAGGCCCTAGCCCACCTACCAGCTGTACTCTCACTTGGTAACAGGTTCCGCCATGCCCAGGTACGCAAGGCCTCAGCGCTGAAGCACGGCGTGGATATGGCACAAGGTGCGCCCAGGCAAACTGGCCAGCACTCGGGCAGGGGCTGGTGAGCCACCCTGTTGCACACTGACCTGCCTGTTTGCCCTCAGACCCGGCCTGGACAGAGCGCTTGGGGGTGCTGTCTGCAGCCACCATCAAGTTCGAGATGCTGAGTACAGCACCACAGAACCAGGTGTGTCTGGGCACCTGTAGCCCAGGCCTGGATGGGAGGAGCATGGGCTGGGGAGCACACCCTCACCACAGCTGTGTCCCTGTGCACCCTGCAGCTGTCTCTGACCTTGGACGACAGCAGCATCTCCACAAAGGGCACCAAGAGTGGCACCTTTGTCATGTACAACTGCGCCCGCCTTGCCACACTCTTCGATGGCTACACGCGCAGTAAGGAACAGGGCTTGTACCCGGCCCTCCCTCCTGTGGCCAGCCTGGACTTCTCACTGCTTCAGGATGAGGTGAGTGCACCTCGGGCGGCTGGTCCCACTGCTGGTGCATACACGCTCTGCCATCTGCACTCTGCCCCACAGGGGGAATGGTTGCTGCTCTTCAATGGTGTCCTCCCCTTCCCGGAGCTGCTGGACCAGGCGGCAGCCCTGCCTTGCACCACCCCAGGGCTCCAGCTCACAGCCCGCACAGAGACGGTGAGATTCACAGTGGCACACACACAGTACTCTTTATTCTGGGCAGGGATGTAAGCATAGGGCAGGCTGGTGACACTGTCTCTCTGTCCAGGTGTGCAAGTTCCTGGTGCAGCTCAGCATGGACTTCAGCTCCTACTACAACAGGGTACACGTGCTAGGGGTGAGTGCACAGCTGGGGGGACAGCAGGGGTGGCGAGAGGTGGGGCAGGGGATGGCCTGGGAACAGAGGCAGGACCAGCAGCCCCCTTCTCCCACAGGAACCGCGGCCCCATCTCTTTGGTCAGATGTTCGCCCGCCTGCAGCTGCTGCGGGCCGTGCGCGAGGTGCTGCATGCCGGCCTGGCCCTGCTGGGCCTTCCTCCACTGAGCCACATCTGAGGCTGAGGAGATCTACAAATGTTCACTGGAATGTTCACTGGGGAGGACAACCACAGGTGGCTTTAGCCCCTGGAGCCCAAATAAATTGCTTCTGAGACAGTATTTGATTGAGCTGTGCAGGGAAGGTACGTGGTCAGCCCAGCCAGCCCCCTACTCACCTCCTGCTCTGCTCAGGGACTTGCCGGCGCTGCAGGCCACTTTAGTCATACCAGTTGTACACCTCCAGGCCCTGGCCCCCGAGGGCACAGCGGTGGCCAAACTCGGGGCTCACAGGCCAGCAGTCCATGTCGGCCACATCTGGCACATGGTACACGGTGCTGTTCAGGAAGGTGGGCTCACCGTGCCCCAGGCGCCAGAAGGTCAGCCGCTGGTCAATGGAGGCTGAGACCATGAGGCTGGGGCTTAGGAGCTTGAGGCCTGTCACGTGGGCAGCGTGTGCACAGGGGACAGAGAACTCTTCGAGCACACGCAGCTGGGGCACTGCGTCGGCAGCACCCGCAGCCTCCTCCGGCTCTGGCATCTCCATAGCAAGCACGCAGATGTGCAGGGAGCCGTCTTCACTGCCACTAGCCACAAAGTGGTGGCCCTCCCTTGTGGCCAAGGTGTCCAGGCTGTTGACACCACAGCTGTGGGCCTGGATGGTCAGGCAGGGGGCACCCAGCCCTGGAGAAACACAATAGCAGTCAGGGCGCTGCCTGCCACAGAGAAGTGGCAGGGGAATGGCAGCCATGAGCACTCGCCAGCTACTCACGGTGGGGCGTGCCGGGCTCCGATGGGGGCTGCAGGACAGTGGAACCAGGGTCCAGCACTGTGCTGAGGTCCCAGAAGGCTAGGCTGCCGTCAGTGGCCGCACTGCACAGGAACAGCCTCCTGGAGCCAGGAGAGCACCCCAGCTCAGTGCACGGGCCACCCATCCCCACACTACCCACCCCAGTCCACCCCACCCCTGGTAGTCCCTCACCGTGGCTGGCCAGGCACTTCATGAGTAAAGGAGTGCACCTTGAGGACACAGCGCTCATGGTGGAAGGTCTCTGCCAGGAGCTGCAGAACCCGCCCGCAGTCCTGCAGGAGAAAGAGCCTGGGGGCGGGGGAGGTGTGGCTCGCAGGCATCCCAAGAAACCTGGCCCTCTGAGGCTCCCCACATGCCCTGGGACTCACCTCACAGCCCCGTCACTGCAGGCTGCAGCCACAAGGGGGCCCAGGCTAGGCCGATTCAGTTCACACACAGCCAGGGACATATACCTGCAGGGACCCACAGTGGTCAGGGGGCACCTGCACCTCCAAACCCTCTCAGTGCCTCACCTGGCAGTGCACCTCACCTGGTCTCCGGGTCCATTTTGACCATCCGATGCCGATGACGCAGCCGGTCCCAGTACTCGTCTAGCCGGTGAGATGAAAGGTGCATGACGTGGCAGGCGAGGCCACTCGGGGTACTAGGGTCCGGAGTGACCAGGATGCTGAAGCAGTTTATCTCGGCTCGGCCACCAGCAGACACCACGCGGGCTGTCAGACCTGGCCGAGGGTCCTTGGGGCCCCCTGGAGTGCCCACATCCCACACGGCCAAAGCGCGCACGGAGGAGATGTGGTTACACACAGATGTGAGTGCGTGGGCTGAGCCTGTGGCAGTGGGCAGTGCCAGGACACACACGGTGGTGTCCTCGCTGCACGTAATGACAATGTCAATCAGGCCAGGCCCTTCACTGCCCGGCTCCAGGAGGTCAGGCTGCATGAAGCTGGGCACCTCAAATTCCGGCCCCAGGGCAATGGCGCCCACACGCTTGACACAGGTGACCTCCCGGCCGTGGAGACCCTCTCGGAGGACCACGTGGGGCCGCGTGCAGCCGCCCAGAGCCCGGTACAGCATCACGTCTCCATCCTTGAGGTAAGCGAAGGCCATGGCTGCCTCAGTATCAGAGAAGGCCCAGGAGCGGTGGCCCCCACCACAGGTGACAACGTGCAGCTTCTCATGTGACCTGGGGCTCCACACCACAAATTCGTTGGCATGGAAACCCAAGACGACCATGCTGCCATCAGGCACCATGCGCAGCCCAGCTACCCAGTTCATGCCGCGACAGCACTTCTGCCTTAGGATTGGTTGGAGCTGCCCGTCCTGCACCAGGAGCTGGTAGTAGGCGCCATCGCGCCCTGTGGTGTACACGTAGCCACCATGGCAGGTGACCGAGGTCACGCCCTGCTTCCCATGTAGGGAATGCAGCGTCGACACAGGGCCCCAACCAGCCACGTCCTTCTTGCTCCCGTCCGCACCACCCCCAGTCGCAGGGGCCCCAGCCTCAGCCCCAGCCTTGCTCCCATCCACAGGCTCCTTGAGCGGACCTGGCCTGGCAGGGAAGAGCAGCACGGAGCCCCGGCGGTCCCCGCACACCACGAAGTCCCCAGGGGGCAGGAAGGCACTGCACGTATGCCACCTCTGCTTGCTCGGGGGTAACAGGTACCGGCACCGCTCCTTGACAAAGATGGCCTTGCCAGAGGGTGCAGCGGCTATTTCCAAGCAGGCTACTTCTCCCCCCGGGCCCGACGCCAGCAGCAGGAGCTCCTCGTAGCCGCGCAGGGCCCAGCTCAGGCTGTGTACCTTGCCAGGGAACAAGACCTGGTCCACAGCGGCAGTGGGTGTGTTGATGGGGACCACTTTGACGCGTCCCTCGCCATTGGCCATGGCACAGAGTCCGAAGCCCTCAGGCCCGGGGGCCGCTTCCAGCAGGCAGTAGGACTGGAAGCGCTCATCCTCCAGCAGCTGCTCCCAGCACTTGACCTCGACGTCATAGAGGTACAGGGAGCCTGTGTCTGTCACCGCCAGCAGCCGCCAAGAGCCAGCCAGTGTCACAGCCTTAAGGGTACCTGGCCTACTTTGGGACTTGAAACCCAGAGCTGAGACCCCCAAGCTGGGGTCCCCACGTCCTAGCAGGTGCCAGAGCCGAATGCCGGAGTCATCTCCCCCCGTGACCACCCAGGCCTGCCTCTCGTGGGCAGCGATGGCCCGGACCCCACGACCTTGGTGGCCCCGGAAGGCCTGCAGGAGCTCCCCTTCGTGGCTCCACACCAGGCACACACAGTCCTCCCCCGCACTGACCAGGTAGTTCTCCAGCAGCTTGACCTGCCACACCCGGGCGCTGTGCCCAAAGCAGTGCCCAACGCTCTGCACCCGACCCCCAGGCACCCGCAGGTCGCCCACCTTCCAGATCCGGACGCTGCGGTCTTCGGAAGCCGTAGCCAGCAAGCCCTTACTTTCCAGGTACGACATGCTGAAGATGACACCCACATGCCCGCTGACTCGTCGGTCAGGTGCCACGGGTTTGTCATCTGTCAGAGCAACTGCTGGGTACCAGACCAGCAGCTGGTTGGAAACAGCACCTGCCACAACAGCCAGTTCCTTCCACGTGTCCCCGATGAGGCAGGCTGAGGAGAGCGTGCACCTGTCGGTGCAGGGCACCTCCTGCAGGAGGCACCCTATGATGGGGTCGTAGAGCACCACCGAATTGTGCCCCAGGGCCAAGGCCACGTTGCCCTCGAGCCAGCGTACATCCCAGATCCAGTCGGACATGTTCCACAGGCCAGAGCGCCATAGCTCCCGGAAGCGGCTCTCTCCCCAGCCGACTTTGACAATGCGGAGGCCTTTGCTCCCAAACACAGCCACCATGGCCTCCGAATCAATGTCTCCATTGGGCTCTGGCCGTACCCGAAAGCCGTGGATAAGATAATGGCCAAGCAGGTTCTGCACACGCTTCATCATCTGCAGGTGCCCGCCAAGGTCCAGGCTGTACACCAGCATGTCGGGCCCCTCGCCTGGACAAAACAGAAAGCCACATCAGAGCCATGCACCTGACTCCAAACACCCCGGGAAGCAGCAGCAAAGGAGAGGGACAGTGGACAGCAGGTGTCATTCCTGCAGCTGGGCCTCAAGCAACCCTGGTGCTGCTTCAGCTGTATTCGCAGTGCCAGCCACACACCACCACTCCCAATGTCTCATTTGATAGCAACCCCACCACCCTAGAGACGCACCCCCTCAGTTTTGGCCCCTGAGCCCTCAGCCTCATCTACTTCTACACCAACTCTGGCAGCCTTCCACCCTCAGGGTCTGAGCCCCTCCCTGCACGTGCACTGCAGAGGGTCTAAGTTCTCTCAGCCCCGCAGTGCCAGCCCTGCCACAGGCCACCTGTCTGCCCCACTCCAAACACAGAGACCTGGGGATGGAGCCCTGCACAGCGACCTCAGAGCCTCACAGGGCACAGAGACACAGCCATGCAGGGCTTGGCCAGGACCTGCACACAGTAGAACCAAAACAAAACTCCCTGGCTCCCCTTACCTAAACCTAAATCCCGGACGTGCAAGGCAAGGACCTTAACCACTGCGCCACCGCGCTGGGCCCCATTTTGCTTCTTAAAATTATTTAAGGGCCCGGCGGCGTGGCCTAGCAGCTAAAGTTCTCACCTTGAACACGCTGGATCCTATGGGGCCGTCTCTCCGGCAGTCCATTCCATCCGCTCCTGCTTGTGCCATGGAAAAGCAGTCAAGACGCACAAGGCTTTGAAAACCAGAACATGTGTGGATGCCAGAAGAAATATCTGGATCATGGCTCGGACGGTAAGCACGACTGTGGTTCACTTGGGAGTGAATCATCGGATGGAGATCTCTCTCACTTCTGCCAGCACTCTGTACTGACTTTCCAATAATAAATAAATCTTTAAAAAAAGTTATTAGGCCCGGCGCGATGGCGCAAGTGGTTAAAGTCCTCGCCTTGCACGCCCAGGATCCCATATGGATGGCAGTTCTAATCCTGGCAGCTCCACTTCCCATCCAGCTCCCTGCCTGTGGCCTGGGAAAGCAGTGGAGGACAGCCCAAGGCTTTGAGACCCTGCACCTGTGTGGGATGCCCGGAGGAAGTTCCTGGATCCTGGCTTTGGATCGGCATAGTATCGGCCCGTTGCGCTCACTTGGGGAGTGAATCATCGGACGGAAGATCTCTCTCACTTTCTCTCCTCCTCTCTGTATATCCGCCTTTCCAATGAAAAAATAATAAAAATAAATCTTAAAAAAAAAAAAAAGTTTATTTAAAAAAAATATTTAAAAGGCAGAGTAAGGCCCGTGTGTTGGATCAACTGGATAATTCTCTACCTGCAAGCACTGGCCTTTCAAATATAAATAAATCTTAAAAATAAGTAAGGCCTGGCACGATAGCATAGTACTTAAAGTCCTTGCCTTGCACACCCGGGATCCCATATGGATGGCAGTTCTAATCCTGGCAGCTCCACTTCCCATCCAGCTCCCTGCCTGTGGCCTGGGAAAGCAGTGGAGGACAGCCCAAAGCCTTGGGACCCTGCACCTGCGTGGGAGACCTGGAAGAGCTCCTGGCTCCTGGCTTCAGACTGGCTCAGCTCCAGCCGTTGAGGCCACTTGGGGAGTGAATCATCGGATGGAAGGTCTTCCTCTCTGTCTCTCCTCCTATCCGTATATCTGTCTTTGCAATAAGAATAAGTAAATCTTGGGCCTGCATGATAGTGTAATAGTTAAAGTCCTCACTTTGCACGTGCCCAGATCCCATATGGGTGCTGGTTCTAATCTCGGCAGCCCCACTTCCCATCCAGCTCCCTGCTGTGGCCTGGGAAAGCAGTCGAGGATGGCCCAAAGCCTTGGGACCCTGCACCCACTTTGGAGACCCAGAAGAAGCTCCTGGCTTCAGATTGGCTCTGCTCCAGCTATTGCAGCTGCTTGGGGAGTGAACCATCGTATGGCAGATCTTTCTCTCTGTCTCTCCTCCTCTCTCTATATCCCCCTTTCCAAAAAAAAATAAATAAATCTTTAAAAAAGAAAAGAAAGAGCTTCCATCTAGTGGTTCACTTCCTATATGGTCGCTCCACTGAAGCCAGGAGCTTCTTCCGGGTCTCCCATGCAGGTGCAGAGTCCCAAGGCTTTGGGCTGTCCTCAACTGCTTTCCCAGGCACAGTCAGGAAGCTAGCTGAGAAGAAGAGAAGTTGGGACATAAACTGGCATCCATATGGGATCCCGGGCCTTGGAAGGCGAGAATTTAGCCACTGAGCCAGCGTACCAGGCCGACAAGTCAGCTTATGGGCGAGATGCTGCCGAGACACATCGTGTCTCAGGTCTTGAGTGTCAGGCCCACTGACTCTAATACAGCTTCCTGCCAGTGCACAGCGCAGGAAACAGCCTGGGACCGACTGGGTGGAATTCCTGACTTTGGTCTTAGCCTGGCCCAGCCCTAGCTGTTGCAGACCAGTGGACAGAGAATCTTTCTCTGCCTTTCAAATAAATTGAAAGTAAACTTTAAAGCTAGTGGTGGGACTCATGCCCAGGCACTCCCAGACGGGACACCTACAAGCTAAACACCAAAGGTCCAAAGCCTGCTCCTTCCGCAAACTTCTTCAAGTGCCCTCATACAGACTGCTTAGGGTCACACAGTGAGGGCGTGGCATTTGGCGCAGTGGCCAGGCACTCGCAATGCCTACACGTAGCAGGTCACGGCTCAAGAACTTGATCCCTGTTACCAACATAAGGGACCTAGATTGATTCTGCGCTCCTTGGCTTCAACCTGACTCGGCTTATGCAGACATGTGAGACTTGAAATGGCAGAAAGAAAATCTGTCACTCTGTCAAATAAATTGCAAAAACAAAAAACATACAAGGGCTTGTGCCGTGACACAGTGGATTAAGCCACTACCTGGAGCACTGCCATCCCATACTGGCATGCAGGTTCAAGCCACCACTGGTCCTCTTTCCTTTCAGCTCCCTAATATGTTGAGGAAAATAGTAGATGACGGCCCAAGCACTTAGGCTGAGGCCCCCTCAGCCCATACTGTTGGAGAGGAGCAGTGTTCCCCTAGGCAACATGTGGCACCATCTGGAGAGCTTCTGGTTTCATGTGCAGGACGAGACGTGCTGTTAGACACAATGAGAACACCAAAGGGAGGGGAGCCGAGGGCCAGAGAAGGCACAGGACACAACAGGTTGCTGGCCTGAGGCGAGCAGCAGTCCTGGGCAGAGGGGCTGGAACAGGAAAGAGAGGAAATGGCTCGAGGGGCTGCTGCCACAGCTCAACAGGCTAAGCCTCAAGCCTGTAGTGCCAGCATCCCATATGGTCACTGGGTTCTCTACCCCATATCCAGTTCTCTGCCTGTGGCCTGGGAAAGCAGTCACCAGCACAAAGCCTTGGGACCCTGCACCTGCGTGGGAGACCTGAAGAGCTTACAGACGGCCTCCTGCCTTTGAATCAGCTCAGCTCCAGCCAACGCAGCCACTTGGGGAATGAACCAGCAGATGAAGAGCTTTCTTTTTTCTGTGTAAAATCTGCCTTTTCAATAAAAATAATATTTAAAAAAAAAAAATCAGTGTTGACCATCCACACGAGCGGGAGACAATAAACATCACGGGGAAAAAAATGTCTATTAGGGGCTGGTATTGTGGTGCAGCAGACAATCACCTGCAATCCTGGCATTCCGTGTTACAGCAACAGCTCCAGTCTGGCTGCTTTGCTTCCAGCCTGAGAGACAGTGGTAGATGGCCCAAGTGCTGAAGCCACGTCACCCATGTGGCAGAGCCATGTGGATTCCTGGCTACAGCCTGGAGTATTGAAGTGGACCAACAGATTGAAATCTCTCTCTCCATCTTTCCCTGTTACTCTGCCTTTCAGACAAATAAATGTTAACAAAAACAAACTGTCAACAAGACTGGCTTGGGGAGGGGGGCAGATTCTGGGGTCTGGGGCCCAAGGACCCCACTGCAGGGCTGGGCCAGCCAGCAGGTCACCATCAGGTAGTTGGAATCCTCCCTTTTGAGGCCCTGGGTGTTCCCCATAGACCTGGACCTCCTGAGAATACAGGACTGGAAATCGGGATAACAGATGCTCCTGGACAGAACTTAAGAACTGGAGCAATACACAGTCATTCTGGAAGCCACAAGAGGGACAGGCACTGTTGGTGTAGGAGGCAAAGCCACCACCTGCAGTGCCAGCATCCCATATGGGTGTCAGTTTGAGTCCTGGCTGTTTCACTTTTTTTTTTTAATTTATTTATTTTTATTTGAAAGATAGATATACAGAGGAGGAGAGAGAGAGGAAGATCCTCCATACGATGGTTCACTCCCCAAGAGACCTCAATGGCTGGAATGGAGCCAATCTGAAGCCAGGAGCCTCTTCTGGATCTCCCACGTGGGTGCAGGGTCCCAAGGCTTTGGGCTGTCCTCGACTGCTTTCCCAGGCCACAAGCAGGGAGCTGGATGGGAAGCAGAGAGGCTACCGGGATTAGAACCAGCGCCCATACAGAATCTGGGCGCGTTCAAGGCGAGGACTACATTATCACGCCCAGCCCAACTTTTAACTCCCTGCTAATGTTTCTAGGAAAGCAGCAGAGGGACGGCCTAAGTGCTTGGGTCCCTGCACCCTCGTGGGAGACCTTGCTCCTGACTTTGGACTGGCTGTCACTGCAGCCATATGAGAACTGAACCAGTGGATGGAAATATCTGTCTCTCTCATTCTTTCAAATAAACCAAACTTTAAAAGACTTGAGTCAGTTCCTTTAGAGACCTTTCTAACTTGCATGCTAGAGTCCTGGTTAGAAACTTCCAGCATGGAGGGGTATTCGGTCCACATCCTGCCTGCGTCAGTGACTGCACTCAATGCTGGCGGCTCCTGCTGGCACGGACCTTGGAGGCAGCAGGTGACAGCTTCCACCAGGTGGTGGACCTGAGCCGAGTTTGTAGCCCACTGGAAGGAGGGTCCTGTGTGTACCCTTCAATGGGTCTTCTTACCACCCCCAAGACAAAGTGAGATCAAAACCTCAACCCAGCTGGCTGCAGCTCACTCTTGCTTTGTTCCCTCCCAGGATCTACTCCTTTCCCTCAATTTCCCTGCCTCAAGGCATCTGGGTGCCAGGAACTCACCTACCCTCTTCTAGTTTACTTTTGGGGTTCTCCGGGTTTCCAGGCTCCAGGTACGAGAGCACACACACACCCTCCACTTCTCCCCCAAAGCTGGCACCGTCTTGCACACAGTGTGGAGACTGAATGAACCCGCCCACACTTCCCCACAGCCAGCCTCCCACTTGGGGCCAATTGTAAAACCAAACAGTTAACTCTCCCTACCAGCTTCACCTCAGGTCCTCCTAACCCCTGGGACTTGATACCTCAGCCTCCCAACCTCACTGGACGCCACCCCTCAAGTCTGAAAATTCCCATGCTGTTCGTCCTGCGCTGCCCCTGCCCTGCGGCCGCACGTCTCTGCAACGCCCCTCTCGCCCTGCAGGCCACACCCCTCATCCGCACCGCACCTCCCACAAGCCACACCCCCTTCGCACCGCCCCCTCCATGGGCCACACCGCCTACTCCCACAGGCCACAACCCCTAACGCACCGCTCCCCGCAGGCCACACCCCTCCGCACCGCCCCCTCCCGCCTGCAACACCCATACACACCGCCCCCTCCGTGGGCCACACCTCTTGTCCCGAAGGCCACACCCCTAACGCACCGCCCCCCCGCAGGCCGCACCCCCTCAGCACCGCCCCCTCCCGCCGGCAGCACCCATACACACCGCCCCCTCCGTAGGCCACACCTCTTTTCCCGAAGGCCACACCCCTAACGCACCGCCCCCTCCCGCCGGCAACACCCATACACACCGCCCCCTCCGTGGGCCACACCCTCGGCACCGCCCCCTCCCGCAGGCCCCGCCCCATGCCGGCCCGCCCCCCTCGGGGGAACAAGCCCCCCGCCCTTCAGCTCCCGCTCACCGTTCCCCTCCCCCGCCTCACTCCCACTGCCCGGCAGCCTAGGCTGTCCGCGGGGATGCTGGAGCCACCACCGGGCCCCGCCTTCGCCTCCCCGCCCCGAGGCTCATCTCTAGGTAGAGCTCATCCCCGCCGTCTCCCGGACTCCCACCCGCCGCCCGTCCTCCTCCTCAGAGCATCATCCCTTTGTTCCTGGGGCGCCGCCTCAGGCGGGCGCTCGCGCTCTGGAGCCCGCAAACGCGCCTCCAGCCAAACCTCACCCGCCAACAGCCGGTCCCTCACACACTCCAGACCCGTGACCGGGAGGAGCATGAGCTCCGAGGTGGCACGGGGCCACACGTAGTCTCCGAGAGCGTCCATGTTGAGCCTGCAGCCGCCGCCTCACAGTCCGCGGAGGGAGCCGAGCTCTCGCGAGAACGAGCCGCGCGCGCCCCTCTCGCCGCGCCGCAGACTCTGAGCCCCTAGCTACAGGTAGCCGAGCGCCGGGCGGCCGCCGGCCAATGACGAGCCTGCGCCCCACGCAATCCCGCCTGCGATTGGCCGGGGCCGCCCTCGGCCCTCACGTGACGCCCGCCGGCCCGGCCGAGCCCGGCCCCCCCCCCAGCCCCACTCACTCCCCGCCCACCCCGGGCCGTGAGCCCTGCGGCTCCGAGGCGTGTGGTTTTATTGAATAGGGTAGCGTGGGTTGTGTACACAATAAATAAATAATTCCAGTGTGGGGACTGCGTCGGTGGGCGCGCGTGGCGGCAAGGAGGGGGCGCCTGCAGCTGGACAGGGGGTTGGAGTGGAAAGCTGGCACCCCACCTCGCGGAGGGGGCGGTGGTGGGCGGCATGGCGGCTGGGCGCCCCGGAGCCCGAGCCTGCCCTCAGAGCTCCACGCGGGCATCGCGGTAGGCCCGGTCCACGGCCCACTCGGGCTGCGCGTCGGCGCCGCCTTCCCGGGCCAGGCGCGCCATCTCCTGCTGGAACAGCGCTTGCCGTGCCCGGCTGGGATCCACATTGATCCAGTTGTTGGCGATCCACTTGGTGCCGCGCGTGACCAGGCAGCCGCCGTGCAGCGAGTAGTCGTCCACGTCGCCCACCCAACCTAGGAGAGGGCTCGGAGTGAGCCAGGGAGGGGCTGGGGCAGCCGGCCCAAGTCCTCAAGTGTGGTTTCTGAGCGACCAGAGGGAAGGGGGGGAGAGGGAGGAGCTGGCCCCAGGCGCTCACCTTGCCCATCTGGGAGGTAGTTGTACCAAAAGACCGCGGTGCCTTGCCGTGGCTTGACCCGCAGGTTGCCCTTGTCACAGTGCCTCCGGGTGTCACGGAGATCCACGTTGTCCTGAATGAGACTCTGGCAACAGAGGGGTGGGTTTCCCAGCCGCCCTCTCCCCCACAGGAGGGAAACCAGCTAGACATGCCCACTGGGACCTTCACCCCGAGCCTGGCGCTGGGATAGGGGAGGGAATACACTATGAGGCCTTGCCAACCCCCGTCTCCCAGAGGAACCCCCCCACTCTTCAGACCTTACCATTTCATCATAGGTTCTGTTGTCTGCCACTGGAAAAACTGTCTCTCCTCCAGCAGTGACATTGTTCAAGTAGAACAGCACTGTCATGTAGCTGTAAGGCAAGCCCACCCCCAACCAAAGCTGAGCAGGCACCCAGTTGTAGGTACTCCCTGGGGCTTATCCTGGCTCCCAAGAGTCAAAGGGATGGGTAAGGAATAAGTGACAAAGGGACATGCCACTGCCCAGGTGTCCCAAGCCACTCTTCCCCCATCCCGCAAAACCCACTCACTTCCTCTGTGTCCCAAAGTGACAGGATCACTTCACTAAACCACTGGGCCCTGAGAAAAGGGGCCTAGCCAGGAGGGTCAGCCGAGGAGTTGGGGCATTGTAGGGACCAGAGGGGCTGGGGTACACCACCCACACAGAGCAGAGAGCACTGCTGGGGCACCTTGGCAGGGCAGGGACACAACAGCTGCAGCAAGCGAGGGAGAGCATCCCAGCCCAGGAGTCCCAGCCCAGGAGGGCAGGCGGTGGCTCAGCCTCGCCTGCATCTCAGAACTCAGAAGGGCAAGTTTGCATGTCTGTGGCTGCCTGGGTCTGTGCTGGCTTAAGGGGGCACCATGACCATGGAACAGCACACTTTCCTGCCAGCTGTGGGAACAACTTGGAGGTCAGGAACAAGGTGGACCTCTTGCCAAAGAGCCATGCGGGGGGGGGGGGGGGGGGAGGTACTTGCCGACAGGATGTCTCAAAGGGGACGGTCTCGTTGGCCACCAGCTTGGTGTGGGAGCAGATGGTCTCTGGGTACACGGGCCCGCTGTCCACGTGAGCGTGGTAGTGGCCTCCCTCACCATAGCGCACCACCTGCAGCGGCTCGCTGAGCTCCACAATCTCTGGTGACAGGCGCGTGAGGCGCAGCACCCTAGCGGGTGGGAGGCACACAGGTTCTGGTGTGTAGCTTCACACCAAGGCCAGACCCAGGGGCCTGCACAACCTCTGCCCCGCCCATAGTCCCTGTAAGCCCCTTTGGCCATCCCACAACTCTGACTGGCCCGTGTGTGAGCGGGCCGTGTTACTCTTGCCAGAGAAAGAAAGACCCACCAGGTGGAAAAGATGAGCTTACCACAGAACTGGGAGACTGGGGGGAGGGAGGCTGAGGTCCTCCCCCCCTGGAAAGCTCCAAGGCAGGAGGTCTTAAGGGCAGAGATAAGGGATCTTTCTCCAATTATTGAAAAACAAATGATTCCTCTCTAAGCCCTATTGTCTTCTGTTTGCCCACATCTCGGACTCATTTGCCCTTGCTAATTGCCTGTCTTTCAGTGGGTCCCCCATCCCAGCCAGGTCTAACAGGTAGAAGTTAATCCCAACCTGGCTCATCCTCAAGTATGTCTCCTCCTCCGCCCCAGCTGGGCTGGCCCCAGAGGCTCACCTCTGGCGGATAGCACGCATGACGTGGTGGGCGCCCTCACCCTGGTACAGCCAAGTGTGGTGGCTGTTCCTCACCAGCTCACTGGACTCGGCCTTGTGGCTTCTCATGTACTTGTGGAAGTCACGCAGGTCCATGCTGGAGAACTCCTGCAGACTCAGGACGCCTGTGCAGGAGGCGGGGGAGGAGGGCCCCACCGTCACTGCCCACCCACCCCCACTGGGTCAGACAAACCTAGTTCCTAGTTCCTGGTCCTATCTGGTTCCTGGTCTCTCAGGGAAGAGCCAGAGAGGTTGGGTTTTCTGGGATTCAACAGTGTTTAGGCCCCACGAGGGGAAGAAGCCCAACTCATACTAGAGCAGGGCAGAGCAGGGCCTCTACATAGCAGGGCCCCAGGCTGGCAAGCACCAGGTGCCCTGACCCTGGCCCTACTCAGTGTCACGTTCAAGCACTCAAGGGGAAACAGCTAGAGCTGGGTCTTTTTAACAGCACATGGGCCAGCCCCCAGGAGCCTTTCCTGACCTCAGCTCATACTGCATGATGCTATGCTGGCCAGGACCAGCTGCTGGGCCAGCAGCCCCCCTCCCAACCCCATTTAACAAAGAAAGCTATTCTGCTCCCCCAGATGAGGACATGCTCCTAAACCTTTGGAGCTCCTGACACATAGCTGGTGCTCTGCTCCTTGTTATTCTGGCCAACCCATGGGAGACAGACACCGGCCACCCTTGGGCCCAGGTTCTTTTGGAGAACGAGAGACACTCATGGGATGTGAGCTTGCCAGCAGTCAAATATGGGGAGCAGTGGCCATGTGACATTGCTCCAGCCACAGGTCCTGCCAGCTTCTCTACTCTGGCTTCTGCAGGCACATCCTCCTGGGTCCTATTTCTCTGCTGCTTTCTCCTGGCTTGGTCCAGGATTTGGGGATGAAGGTGCTAACCACACCACTTCAGAAACCTCTCAGGGTCATTACCAATGGGTAGGAGGGCAGAACCATTGGCATAATGGCTCCATGGCAGTTGGCCAAGTTAACAACACTACAACTTTGGTGCCTGGGCATGAAAAGACCAAGTAGTGGCTAAAGACAGCCAAGCAGTCCGAGCTGAGACCAAGGTGGGGTATTTTGTAGGAGCAGACCCCTCATTCATGGTGCAGGCTGGACACTTTGCCCAGTGAAGTCCAGTAGGTCTTCAGGGACCACCAACTTCTCAAGGCTGGAGGCTGGGCCGTACTCTCATGTCCTCAGCTCCGGCCACTCTAGGAGCTGGGCCCTTACAGGGCCAGGACATCCCTAGAGCCCAGTTCCTGGTGGGGCCGGAGGCCTGAAGGGGAGTGAGCTCACCATCACCATCAGGGTCAGCCTTGATGGCTGAATACATCTCCTGAATGTTCTCAGGTGTCATCCAGCGTCCATTTCCCAGGCGCGTCTGAGCTAGGACCTAAAGCAAAAGAGGGTCCCTCAGTGGGGAGAGTTCCATCTCAACAGTGGACAGCTCCCAGAGCACAAACAGCCATTCCCACTGCCACATATCACACACCTCTTCTTGCTGTAAAGCTAAAGGGCTGAGGCACCTGGGCATGGATAGGAACACAGGACAGGAGCCAAGGCTATGGGCTGTCAGGAGGGAGGGTGGGCAGAATGGTCCAGAGGCATTCACACTCCCCAAAGGGGGCTGCAGGTGAAGATGGAGCAGGGGAGGGGAGAGGCAGGGGAGGCCTGGCCAGGATCCATCCCCCACGTGCCTCAGGAAGAGCTCTAGGTGAGCTGTCAACCCCCTCCAGCCCACCAGACTTCTGTCAGAAGCCCAGATGCTGCTGGCTGGTAGGAGAGGTTGCATGGGACTCTCACCATGACAGCAGGGAATGCAGAGCCCAGAGAGCAGCCATTCCAACCAACAGGAGTACCCCTCCTGGGGTACCCTGAGGAAGGGGATTGAGGCCTGGGCAGGTACTAGCAAGCCTGGAGAAGCATCAGACTCTGGGGGTGGGGACATGGATCAGCGATGTAGCTGCCAAGGAGGGTTTCCAGTGTGCCCACCTCCCGAAGCTGCAAGCGGCCATCACGGTTCTGGTCCAGCAGCTGGAAGAGCTCCAACTGGCTGAGCTGTAGGGTGCTCATGGCCTCTTCATACTCCTCAGTGGGTAGGATCTGGCTGCGCTGCAGCCCCTTCATCTGGGCCAGGTGGATGATGAGCCGGCATTCTTCATCGCTCAGAAAGCCAGGAATTTCTGCCAGAAGAGGTGGCGGGGTGTGGGAGGAGGGCGGACCCCTTAGCCAGGGCACGGATGCCAGCACCTGCCTTTCCCCCCACCAGGCTCCTCCTTGCCGTCCTGGGGAGGCACCAGGTCTCTCTCAGCTCTGGCTGCTTAGCTGTCCTGCAAAGGCTGTCCAGTGTTGGCAGGGTGGGACCCATTTCCTCAGGGGAGTCCTGGGGGTGGGGCAAAGCTAAGATCAGTGGGGTCACTGGGGTGTTTGGGCTGATTATGGTCTCTGAGAAGATACTGTGCTGTCTTCCCCACCCGTTCCTTTTGGCACTGTGTTTCAAAGCCCCTGAGAAACAGTCATTCTGGATGGGAAGGGAACAGGCTCCAGGGCTGGATGCCCACACCCCAGGCATAGCAGGTCAGTGGCTTGGGGCGGGGTTGGAATTCAAGCAGAAGGCTCTGGGGAGCAGCCTCCATTTTAGCAGCCCCCAGGCACTACCATGGCAGGAGCCTGGGCCTCCTTGCCAAACATACAGCCACCACTCTCCCAGCAGTCATAGCCAAGCAGAAGGAAAAGAGCCATTGAGAGCTAGGACCAAGCAGCTGTTAACAGAGACCAGAGCACAGCACCTGTCCTGGGAGACCATGCCCTGCCTGTGGTCGAGAAAGCCAAAGCACAGTGATCAGTACCACCCCTGCCCCGCCCTCCCCAGGCGTCAGGCTACCATCGTCCGGGGTTCGCGCTTACAGCCAGTGCAGCTTCCAGGGTGAGAGTAAAGGGCTCCAGTTATGATGACATGGAGGATGGGACAAAACACTCCCCATCCCACATCAACCCAAGAAAGGGTGTGCAAATATCCCCTGGGAGACAGCCCCATTGGACAATGGGTCAGCCCCAACTCCTCATGGACCACTTCCTCCTAACTATTTTAACATGGACAATGTCACAGGACAGGCAAGCCAGCTGGGAAAGAAGGCAAAGAAAACACAGGCCCAGATTTCTCCAGTTTATTAAGCTCTGGTAATCTGCAAGCAGAGTGGAGATAGGCAGCCAGCCAGGGCAGGCCCCCCCGCCGGGCACTAATCAAAAGCAAACAGCCCTGTCAGCATGTGGGGGGCCTTGCCAGGTGGGTCCAGGCACCTGGGAGCTATGCAGACCCCTGCGGCACCCCTTTCTCTCTCAGCTCCTAGAGCGCAAGTGCGGCTCTTATAAAGCCCCTGAGGCCTCAATTCATTAAGGCCAGGACGGAGAAAGCAGATGATGAAGCAGGAGCTGTGGCTGCTGGCAGCGCTGGTGGTGCTATGGGGCGACAGTGGAGCAGGGGCCCCCTGGGGCCCCACGCGATGCATACCCATCCCCCCAGCCATGGCCCTGTGCCACAATATCGGCTACACGGAAATGCGGCTGCCCAACTTGCTGGACCACGACACTGCGGCCGAGGCCATTCAACAGTCGGTCAGCTGGCTGCCCCTGCTCGCCCGGGAGTGCCACCCTGATGCCCGTCTCTTCCTCTGCTCCCTCTTTGCCCCTGTGTGCCTTGACAGGTATGGTGGGGGGGCTCCAAGGCGCAAGGGGAGAGGGCCTGCTCAGCCAGGGCCTGCCCTGACAACTCAGATCTGCAGCAGTCCGCGCAGAGCACCTCTCTGTGCTGCGTGCTGGTGGGGACGGGGCACAGAGAAAGCATGTTGTCAAGAGTGTTTCAGGCAGAGGGAAGCAAAGGGCACAGCGGCAATAAAGGCATGGGAAAGTGGTGACCTTTGGCCGGGACCCACAACCCATCCAGGGCTTTTGAACAAGACAGTGTTCTACAGGTTGGAGAGGGGTGGGGAGAGTGGAAGAGTTAGGGGCTTCAAGGCCTTCTCGCCAAGGAGGCAAAGATGCTCTGTCTGCCCCAGGGATCCGGGCAAGAGAAGCAACCCAGGCCCATCTGCAGGCCTTGTTCGGTGAGCCCAAAGCCAAGAGGCCAACTCCTCTTCCCCTGCCTACCCCATCCCGTGAGCCACAGCATGACAGAGTCTCCTTGGGTGGGCAGGTCAGTGGCAGCAGCAAGAATGGGCTCTTCCAGATCGTCAGGGACCCTGCTCCTGCCTTCTCCCTTGAATGTGGGATGTGAGAATGCAAGGGCAGACCCCACCACCATACACACACCCTTGGGTGGTCATGAAGCAAGGCAAACTTGGGAAGCTGGAAGGAGGCCTGGGCTGGGGGAGATAAGAAAACTCAGAGAGAGGAGGGCAGGGTCAAGAGTTGAGGGCTTGTGGCCAAGCAGAGGGAGAGCCAGACTGCAGAGCTGTTACTAGGCAACCAGAGGATTGTTGCCTAGCAACCACAGCCTGAGGCACATAGAGCTGGCTCCAGCTGATCCTGTGTCCTGCTTGTGACCACACCACCCTCGCCTGCAGGGTCATCTACCCTTGCCGCAGCCTGTGTGAGGCTGTGCAAGCCAGCTGTGCTCCCATCATGGCCTGCTACGGTTACCCCTGGCCAGCCATCCTGCACTGTGGACGCTTCCCCACAGGTCATGGTCTCTGTGTCGGGGCTGTGCCCAGCGGTTCCCGCCTGGATCGCCCATGTGAGTCTCTGCATGGCTTCCCCCAACTCCTCTCACTTGTCCCCACTCTTATTCAAATCATTCTGCAAGGGGAGCAGGCAAACGGAAGGGGAGGAGTGGCCTACAGCAGGGGTCTGTCTCAAAAGGAGTACCTGAGATGGGCAAGGCGGGAAGGATGCGTGCTGACTGTCCAAGCCGACATGACCCCCAGTGCCTTCCTCTCATCCTCCCCTCAGTGCCACAGGCCAGCTGCCGGGACTGCGAGTTGCAGGTGGCGGCCTCATCCAAGGAGGTCCTGGACACGTTCTGCGCCAGTGACTTTGGTGAGCAGCACATACTACATGCCCCTTCCAAGAATTCCCACTCTGGCCCCTGGCTCAGTGGTACAGTGAGCTAGAGCAAAAAATACAAATGCCTGTACACGTTTGGGCTGTTCTCAACACAAACAGACATCCCCAAACAAAAATCTTGTGGAGTGGGGGAGCAGTGCAGGAGCATCCATAGAAGCTGGAATCCAGGGGAGAGCAACAGGTGAGGGACTGTGGTAAGATCTTCCCATCTCATTACCCTATCCCTTCAATCCCCTTCAGCGGTCAAGGTCAGGCTCTCCTGGTGCAACAATACGATGTCTGGCCCCTGGGACTGTGACTTGGACTCAAGGCTGGAGGTGCTGAAAGCGGGGCTCCTGCCCCCCACGGAACTGGCACCCACCCTGCGACGCTCGCTGCAGCTGGATGTCACGTGTGTGTACAACCTCCTGCGAGGCAGGCACTCAGGGATCTTTGTGCTGAGTGGGCAGGTGCAGGACCATCGACTGCTGGTAACCACAGCCTACTCCTGGAGCCGAACCCACCGAAATCTGCAGCTGGCAGTGCGTAGGTGGCACCATCACCAGTGTCAAGAATAAGAACCAACCCCAACTGGGAAAGGCTGGGATTCTGTAGCTGTGGTCCCTTGCCCTATGCTTCCCCAACAGAGACCTAAAACCCTTTTTTCTGCTGCTCCACCCTATTCCACCAAGGAGAAGGGAAGACCCGAGTTCAGAAAGGCTAAGGGATGAGCAGAAAGTGAAGCCAGCTTCCACGGACACAGGTCTCTGCGCCATAGTGCTGTACCCAGCCAGGCACAGACAAATATGTGTGTTGGGCAGGCAAGACCTTTTTTCTGTCTGTCCCAGGCCTGGACAGGAGCAGGGCCAGTGCCTGACCCTTCCTCCAAGCAGGCACCCCATGCTGGGCCTCAGGGCAAGCATAGCCTCACACTATGCTCGTGGCTCCTCCAACTGGACACAGATTTGGCTTTCTCCTCTGCTGGGCCTTTATCCTGAGGCCACAGCTCTGCCAGGTGTCAGGCTCAGAGTACAGGACAGGGTGTGCACAGCCTCTGCAGAAACCTACGTGGAGTTGTTGAATAACTTGAACTCACACACACACTTCGATCCTCGCCCTGCCTCTGGGCCTTCAGTGCTTGTCATGAGTCCTTGGTGTGACATAGCTACCTGATTATTTCTTAATCCAAAAAAGAAAACCTTTGGGAATCTTGACAATGCAGTTACAGTTTTTAAGTAAATTCTTTTCTGTGCTGGGGACAATTATGCATTTACTCTTAACAGTTAAGAAAAATGGATTAAAACGTTGGTTGAGACACTAACCCGTGACATAGCAGCTTAAGCTACTACCTGAGGTGCCAGCATCCACTGGTTTGAGTCTTGGCTGCTCCACTTCCAATCCAGCTCTCAGCTAAGAGTCTGTGACAGCAGCAGAGAATGCCTTGGACCCCCTAAACCCACATGGGAGACCCAGAAGAAGCTTCTGATCTAGTCCTGGCCATGGCAGCCATTTGGGGAGTGAATCAATGGATGAAATCTCTATGTCTCTCCCTCCCTTTACAACTCTGCTTTTCAAATAAATAAATAAATCTTAACAATAACAACAACAACAACAAAAAAATTACCCTGGCTGGCCCACTGACAGTGTCCCTGCTGCCCCTGGAGAGGGTGCCAGGCCAGGAGGATGGGTGAGGAGGCCATGAGAATGTACCAAGAGACACATCCTGTCAGCCATGAATGACCAACTCTGTCCTACAGCTGAAGCTCTCCCATCAGGCCTCCCACACATACAGCTCTTCTTAGGGGAAAAAGGCAAAAATGACACGAATAGATACAGAAACTGAATTCCAGCTGTGCTAAGCTGGCTGCAGCTACTACCTGCCCAGGGACCGAGTGGGACTGGCCCAAGCGAGGGCCCTGGGCACAGGCCTGGCAGGGCTGTCTGTGAGATAATTGTCTGAGCCTCGCAATGCGGGCATGGGTCACATGCTAGGGCCTGGGGCAGAGGCATGCCTGGGGTCTAAGAATCAGGAGAGAGGAGGGGGAAGCTGCAATGAGGGGGCAGAAGGTAAGGGCTTTGAGACGCCAAGAGAGACCCCTTGAAAGGAGAGATCCTGTAGAATTCAGCAGGGAGACAGGAGCCAAACATGCCAAAGCATGTCCCTGGGGAGGGGTCAGAGCCAGAAACCGGCCACTTCCCTCCTGAACTGAAGTGGACCGAGTCTTTGGCCGACTCCCAGCATTCTCAGTCCCTGGGTAGTGAGTGCTTCCCATAGGAACTGCCCAGAGTTCAAGCAGGGGCCACTTCTGGTCCAGTTCCCGGGGGCCACGTGTCTCAGGAACCAGGGTGAGAAACATGAAACGCTACACTCGCTAGAGAGAGAAGCTGAAGGCTGTGCAGTATTGTCAGTGAAGTGCTGGGTTTCCTGCCCCAGGCAGTCACCCCTCAGGCCCCGGGGCAGGCAGGTCAAGGGTGTAGAACCAAGAGCAGTCACTGAGTTTAGAATGATCAGTGACCAGAAGGACAGGTTGGTACAGGGGGCAGTCACATGCTGATCATGCAGCTTACACTGGGATGAGGATTTGCTCACTCCCAGCAGCCAGGAACTACCTGTGCCCTGAGTGAGGATAGGTCACACGGGGAGGCGACTATAGGAGACTGTGTAGCAGAGGAAACAAGGACCAAGAAAGGGAGAAGTGTTCTCACCACAGCTACCCAAATCTCTGACTTTGCAATTTGTGCGAAAAACAGGGTCTATCTAGTGGCGTCATTGCAGTTTTTGGGTCAGCTCTTTTGTGGTTCGCTGATTGTCAGTCATTTCAGCTTTAATTTTCTGCTCTAGAGTTCAAGTGCTGGGGAGGGATCTTTGGTTTCATGGCCCATATCTCTTCACACACATCTGAGTTAAATGTGGACCCAAGGAGGCAGAAGGCCACAGCCAGCACAGGTGCAGCAGGCAACAGGCCAGTGCTGTGCCCTTTACCGGCAAGTGCCTGTCTGGATCCGGAGCTGCCTACAGGGCTCTGCCGAATGTTCTCCTCAGGGCAGCCCACTCTGGCCTCCCTTTCACGGGTTTCAATCCCAGGTGAAGTTCTGCCTTACTTCCCAATCACATCTCACCACCTGATACACCAGGTATATTCATTCACTGATTTGTGTATTATATGTTTCTTCATTTGAATATCAGTTTTGTGGCTTTTTTTGGGTTTCATTTCTCCTCCACCACATTTTATTTTGTTTTTTGTTTTTTTTTTGTTTGTTTGTTTCTTGTGTAATGCTCTGTTTCCAGCACCTAAAGCAGAGTCTAGCAGACTTCAATGCTATGCGGCAGCAACCATAATCAAATACTGCAGTGGCAATCCAGTGAGTTACGCTGCTGCTTGCAACAGAAACATCTGTTGGTATATGTGCTGCCAAAGCAAGCACATATATCTTATATTTGGAGTGCTGGTTTGAACCTTAGCTGTTCTGCTTCTGACTCAGTTAGCTGCTATTACTCCTGGAAAAGCAGAAGAGGATGGCCCACAAGCTTGGGCCCCTGCCACTCACAGGGGAGACCTGGATGGAGTTTCAGGCTCCTGGCTTCGGTCTGGCCCAGCCCCAGCAGTTGCAGGCATTTGGGGAGAGAAGTAGTGGATGGAAGATCTCTCATCTTGTCTTCCCTCTCTGACTCAATACATTTTAAAATACAGAAAAGCAGTCACCACTTCCTTGGGCTCCTTTATAGCAGAACAGCAGCAGGCACGTGACAGCAAGCTCCTGGGACTTGGCATAATCCCCAGACAGGGCACTTGCCACGCCGGCTCTACCCACTATGTGCTCAGATGAGCATGCTGCCCATCATCCTTCTTCCCACTCCCTACCCTCTCTGCCAGGGAGGGCCTTGGGTCTGCAAGGATGTGTCTCACACGTAAGGGCCCCAGGGCCAGGAGGACATGAACTTACTGGGGGCAAAGCTCCATGGGGCCAGTGCCCTCCCCTTGCTGACCCTGACTCCTGGTTGGCACAGACTCTGGAGGAGTCTGGGGTCTTCATGGCCAGCCCTGTATGTGGTTCCTGAGCAGGCACTAGAGGCAGGCTGCTTGGGGCCTAAACTTCACAGAGTGAGCTGGGGGTGGGGAAATAGGAGACCAGCCACAGCAGCTTCCTTGCCCACCTGCTGGCCCGAGGGGGCATGAGAACTTAATGTTCATAGGAATGCCATCACATAAAAGTTACACTGTGGCTTGTAATGGGGTCACGCCAGGGGCTCTAAAGAAAAATGTGAAGTGCAGAGTGAAGACAGTGCCTGCTGGGGCACCTTGACAGGTGGGTCAGTGGGATGGGCAGAGGAGTGGTGGGCAGATCCTTCCCGCAAAAACCCGACAGCAGTCTGTGAGAGGGCTTTCCTCCACAAGCCCCACTCTAGAAGCAGTGATCGGAAACACTGCGTGTCCACAGATGACTTCAGCGCAGGCCACTCTGCCCAACCCTGCAAGAAAGCCTTGGGCCAAGGCCGCAGGGAGCAGGGCCTGGGGGGGGGGGGGCAGGGTCGCCCTGTGAAGCAGGGCAGTGGTTGGTTCCTTCCCTTGTTTATCCTGTGGCTGGAGAAAAGGGCCCCTCCGAAGCAGCCATTTTCAAAACATTAAGTCACGTGGTCCGTGACTGTCAAGTTGCCTCCCGGGTTTCATCGCAGCCCCCACCTCCATCCCCCCGGAGTGTGGGGCGGACTTACCGAAGAGCAGTGGCTTGAGGCTGAGGGTCCGGATGAAGTGGTCCTTGTCGCTGACCAGCTGGACCTTCCGCTCGTGCCCCACCTAAGGGAAAGGCACATAGCGGGCAGCCGGGACTCCAGGCCGTGCTGTCCGAGCAGGGAAGAGCCGCCCGGGGGCTGGAGCGCTGCAGCGGGTGGGTACTGCGGGCGCCCCGGGATGAGTGCCGAGTCCGCCCGAATGGCAGAGGCAAGGGAGTAGTGAAAAGGGGGTCCTCACCTTGATCCCCTCCAGCCGGGTGAGGGGACCCAAGGCTGGTGCGGGCCGCGGCCCCTGGGCGCGACGCTGGGGCCCGGGGTCGGAGCTCTCGTCGCCGTTGCTGTAGTGCACGAAGAACAGCAGCGCCAGCACGTTGCCCAGGTACAGGTGCACAAACACCATCAGCACCAGGAAGTAGGCGCGCGAGCAGATGCCGCGGGGCTTGTACAGCGGCCGCACCGGCGCGTCCTCGCCGTCGCCGTCCCCGAGGCCGGGAGGCGCCCATTGCGGACCTGCCGCCTCAGGCCGCTGCCGGCCCGTAGCGACCGCTGCCGCCGCCGCTGCCGCCGCCGCCGCCGCAGCCATGGCGCCCAGGTCGCGCGCGCGCGCCCAGGGGAGGGGCCGCTGGGGCGCCCGTGCTGCGCGTCGCCCCGGCAACGGCCGCCGAGCCCGCGCGCCCCGCGGTCACTAGGAAACGGAGTCGGGGGATGCTGCGTGGTTCGGGCGCCGCCCTGGCTCGCGCGGAGCTGGAACTCGGGGTCGCCTGCGTCTCGGATTCCAGACCGCAGCGAGCCTTCTCCGTCCGAGCTAGGTTAATGCTAGACGCAGCTGCACGCTAGCCGGACCAGAAGCCAACCTCCTTGTCCCCACGGGGAACCCCTCCGCTCCGGGATCAGGACGCCCCCTCCCCTCGCAGAAAAGTGCGATCAGCATTTTCGCATTGTCTGGAGCGGGGGAGGAGGTAGCGCCAAGACGTGACTCAATTCTGCGGCGGCCTGGGACCTTGCCGAGCCCAGGACTACGCACATGACGCTAGTGCGAGACTCACGACCTTGTGCTTGGCGTCCCTGAAGCTGGAGGAGGATGAAGTCCGGGCAAACTTAGAAAGAAGCAGCCTGATGTGGTGGGGGGTCTTCTAGGCAGTTGGAATCCAGAATGGGACGTTCTGCCTCAGTGAGTAACTCGCATAAATGCAACTGGTGCTCAGTGTGCGCGAACACTCCTTGCTGCAAAGCTCGCCGTGCAGGCAGCCATGGGAACCATCATCCCAGAGAAAAATTAAACTCGGATCAGGACCCAAAAAATAGGGGTGGGATAGAGCTCGCACCGAGACGTGTTTGTGTTCTTTGCCCTTCTCCTGTCAAGTGGGCATTCCGCAGCACAGGAGCTGACCTTCGCTCCTCCCACAGGGGATAAGCAGACCAGAGCAAGGCTATTAAAGCAGCCCGGCCCCAGGGGAGGGGAACTCCCATTTACACGCAGCCCTTATCTTCTGGTCTCTTCTGTCCAGGCCATTTTGTCAGTTCTTTAGGGTATGCAGAGCAACACTGTCTAGCAGAGAGGCACCAGGTTATCAGTGAGAGCTGCTGTGGCTCTGCAAAGCCTGGGGTGTGTCAGACACCCCATGTTGGGCATCCCATTTTGGCTCACCCAGTGCAAGCTCCAAATGACATGTAAAGGCTGCTAAGTAACTGTTTCCTATTCCCGTTGAGGACTGTTCACAATGCTGGCAACTTGTCTTTCAATTCACTCTAGTCCCAAGTCTCCATTTCTAAATGCAGCACAGACAGAATTTTCCAGAATCATAGACCTCTCAAATTTACTGATAATACTTCAGTTATGGTTAGCACTAGGGGGTCCACAGGCTTTTGGTATCAATGAAATTAATGACAAGTCCATTTCCCAACAATATTTGATGTAGTATAATTAAATTAGCATTGCAACTCTCATGGGCCTTAACCTATTTCACTCAATTCCTTTCTTCTCCCCTTGTAGCAGGCTGATGAACGAAGGCAAGCAGGCTGCAGAGAAGCTGACCATCTTGGTTTTCTTCTGTCCCCCTGTTGTCCGCCATGGGAATTTCACATCACACAGCATGAAGGTATGCCTTTGAGACCATGGTAGTCTGTCCCAGGGGCTTACAGCCACACTACCAAACATAGGTGTTTGCTAACTTTTTTTTTTTGTTCCTTTGTTTTAATGACTACTTTTGTGTTCTCTACCTCTTTGTATTTTTAAAAATTTATTTTTATTGGAAAAGCAGATATACAGAAAGGAGGAGAGACAGAGAGGAAGATCTTCCATCTGATGGTTTACTCCCCTTGAAACTGCAATGGGTGGAGCGGAGCCAATCCAAAGCCAGGAGCCAGGAGCTTCTTCTGGGTCTTTCACGCGGGTGCAGGGTCCCAAAGCTTTGGGTCATCCTCAACTGCTTTCCCAGGCCACAAGCAGGGAGTTGGATGGGAAGTGGAGCTTCTGGGATTAGAACCAGCACCCATATGGAATCCCAGTGTGTTCCCTAACCTGTGTTCTAATATGCATCACAAAAACTGGACTTCTCCATAGTTTCCAACAGTAAGGTATTTTAGTTTGACATTTGTTTTGGAAAGATATGTTTATTTTTATTAGTTTTTTTAAGATTTACTTTATTCTTATTGCTGCAAAGTCAGATATACAGAAAGGAGCAGAGACAGAGAGGAAGATCTTCTGTCCGATCTTCACTCCCCAAATGACTGCAGTGGATAGAGCTGCACCAATCCGAAGCCAGCAGCTAGGAGCTCTTCCGGTCTCCCATGTGGGTGCAGGGTCCCAAGGCTTTTAGCTGTCCTTGACTGCTCTCTCAGGCCATAAGCAGGGAGCTGGATGGGAAATGGTGCTGTCAGGATTAGAACTGGCATCCATATGGGTCCTGTGTGGTGGCCTAGCAGCTAAAGTCCTCACCTTGAATGTGCCAGGATCCCATATGGGCACAGGTTCCAATCCCGACAGCCACGCTTCCCATCCAGCTCCCTGCTTGTGCCCTGTGAAAGTAGCCAAGGATGGTCCAAAGCCTTGGGACCCTGCACCTGTGTGGGAGACCCGGAAAGTTCCTGGCTTCAGATTGGCACAGCACCAGCCGTTGCAATCACTTTGGGAGTGAATCATCGGACAGAAGATATTTTTCTGTATCTCTCCCTCCTCTCTGTATATCTGACTTTGCAATAAAAACAAATCTTAAGAAAAAAAAAAAAAATGGCACCCATAATGTTATTCCAGTGTGGTCAAGGTGAGAACTTTGGTTGCTAGGCCACCATGCTGGGCCCTATGAGCTATACTTTTTTGCTATTCAGCAGGTAGTCATCATTAGCACTTACATTTCTTACTGGGAGGCTAGACCATGCATCTTCTGCACACCACTGCATGCCCAGGTGCTACGAATGGGGCTTAGTTGGGCCCAGCATGATGGTCTAGTGGCTAATGTCCTCGCCTTGAATGCGCCAGGATCTCATATGGGCGTCGGTTCTAATCCCAGCTGCTCCACTTCCCATCCAGTTCCCTGCTTGTGGCCTGGGAAAGCAGTAGAGGACAGCCAAAAGACTTTGGACCCTGCACCCGTGTGAGACTCAGAAGTTCCTGGCTTTGGATTGGCACAGCACTGGTTGTTGTGCTCACTTGGGGAGTGAATTATCGGACAGAAGATCTTCCTCTCTGTCTCTCCTCCTCTCTGTCTGACTTGTAATAAAAATAAATCTTGGAAATTGCTCTGGTCCTATCTATTTCCTGTCCTTTACTCATGGGATTAACCCTCCAAACACTTCTTGTTCTTGCCCCAAGTTATTTCTTCATGGACCTCCTGACCCTTGGGAAGCCACAACTCCCTCTCCCATACTTCCCAGCCCCTGCTCTGCTCATTCTGCAGGTCCAGAGGTGTCTCAGTGGGGCCTGGGGCACTTTCACCCATCCCATGCCAGCAGCCTGGCTCACCAATTGTAGGCAGCCATTCAGCCTGCAGCGAGGGAAGGGAGAGTGACCATGACCCAAATGCTCCACTTCCTTCCTTAAGGCCCACATGAAAGTGGCCTATGCCCAGATCGCTCAAAAGGGAAGGAGGCCCTCATCCCAGGCTTACAGACCAGGTCCTCTGGTGGCCCAGGAGGCAATGTGGACCCTTTAAAGAAAGACTACACACTCCTTTATAATCAGAAACTTACAATTTATTTTGAATAAACTACTCAATGTTGAGCAGATGACATTGCCTCATATAACTTTCTCTTTGAAGAAAAACAAAGAAATATGAATTCATGAAAACACTGCATCTCTTTCTCTTCCATCCTCTGGAGGGCAGAATGCTTCTGCCCAATTTTTCCCATCATCTTCCTGAAACACAAGCAAAAGACAGCCCCTGGGGGTACTCCAGGAAGCGCCCCACAGAAGGCCACAGTCTGGGCAGGGAAGGTTGGTAGGGACCACAGGCGAAGCAAGTACAAGAGATGGCAGCCACACAGTCCTCCAGGTGGGCAGGGTGGGACCCAAGCACAGGGCTGCACCTGTGTCATGTGCAAACGGAGTGTGCACTGAAAGGCTCTAGATCCCAGGTTACTCCAGCACAGCACAGCATTCACACATACACCCCGCCCCTGGGCCCAGCAGACTCTCCCAGTATCTGGTGTACTTCCTCTGTTCCATGCTGGGCTCCCTGACCTCAATGCTACCTTGTTCCTGTCCACTGCACAGTCCCTCCTTCCCTCAGAGGAAGCAAAGAGACAACATTTGAAGGGGTGGAGAGGGAACTTAAGGCCAGCCACACGCCCAAGACCTCCAGTCACAGCTGCCCTTTTTCTTCAAGAATGATTCAAGTTTTATAACTTACTGGAGGTGAGGATGTAGGAACCATCCAGAATTTCTACCACAGTGTTCACAGATCTCAACAGCTCTGCCAGTTTGAATGGTGGCACTGAACAAGTTCACAGACCCAACATTCCAAAGGCCCACAGGACCAGGTTCAGGACAGGCAGGACAATAGGCAAAACACTGGCTCTTTGTAATGGACTGTGCTAAGGCCTGTTCTTTCCTCCAGCCAGCTGCTTGCTCATGGGCTGAGCTACAAACTGGGGTCCTGCCGGTCTGAGGTTCCAAGACCACAGAGGCAGTGTCCTCCACTAGCTAGATATGGGCACAGAAGAACATACCCTATTCCCCAGCAACTCTGGGCAGAGTCCAGAAAACATAAAAACAACTTGTTTAGGCCTGGCCAGGAAGGCCCATGCTGTGGGAGGGCACACTGAACTCTGATCCTGATACCGGCCAGGGGAGACTGCAGCAACGGGCCCGATGTAGCTGCACATGCCTGGTCAAAGTGATGGTATTTGAATTCTGGCAAAAAAGAAGTGTCCAGGGTAAAGTAAGTGTGTTTTGGAGAGCTCCCCTGAAAGTGGATTTATAAGGAGAGAAAAGGAAGCACCGTGCTGAACCAGTGTCCTTGTGTGTGGAGAAGACAGTGCTCTGTGCTCTGCGTGGGCTGTGTCCCTGGGAGCCAGGTCCAGGCACATCCACTTTCAAGCACAAACAGGAACCTAGACAGCAGTGCCACGAGAGGTGATGATATACCATGGCAGGAAGGCCCAGTGTGATTCTGTGACCATAAGCAGGCCTCCTCAGCCCCCAACATTTGCCACCCCCACCTTCCCCTGGGATTCCAATGATGGATAAACCCTTGAACCAGGCAAGCAAGGGGCACCCTGGGACCCAGGTGCAGTAGCAACCTTTTGAGGCAGCTTGGTGGGCAGCATACATTACAGTCTAAGCAAAATAGCTAGAGGGTAAAACACTCCAATGCCAATTTATTTTTTAAAAGGGCTTTGTGTTATCCTATGGTTTGTCTTTTGTTGTTGCTGTTGTATAATTGTACAACTCTGAAAATTATGTAAGTTGTAATGATCTAATACTATTAATAGCCATTCAGAAAAAATCCTCCCTCCCTCCCAACAACCATCCAGGGGGAAGTGAAAGTCCTGAAAAGAGGCCAACTCAATATGGCCTCTACCCTGGTAGAAACAAAAAGCAAAAAGATGAGAAGAAAACAGAAATTGACTAAGAAGTGTTGCCAGTGTCTCTCAGGAGTGGGGCCCTGGCTGTCACCGGGGTTGTGAAGGGCAGAGCCTGCAGCGTGCAGCATGGCAGCCACATCTTCACCCCAGCATGTTCACGTCCCAACTTAGGTGTCGTGGAAATCTTTGAGCAGGGTTCTTCTCCGCTGCTCCGCTATGTGCATCTGGTTCTCCAAGTCCTGTGTTGGGGAAGTGAGAAGGGTACAGGTCTAGCCTAGTCCTGAAGCAGGGAGGAACCCCAGAACACCTGTCATGTCAGGGAGTCCAAACAATCACAGCTACTGCCCTCCCCACCCTTCTCAGCAGCAGCAGCTTCAGCGCCAACGCCAGCACCCTGTGTTGGTGCCACCTGTCACGCCTGTGGGACAGCAGGAACTTACCCCTCGGTCATAGCTGTCAGCACGTTCCACTTTCCAGGAGAGGTTTTCGATCTCGGCCTCTAGCTGAGCCTGCTGGTATTCAAACTGTATGGGGGGCGGGGGGGCGGGGAAGGGAAGGAGATAAAGGAGAGGGAGCTATAGCCAGGCAGAGGTAGCAGGGCACAGGCAGCTCCACACAACCTTGACACTATTCTTAGACAACAGTATTAATTCCCTATACCAGAGCCAGACTAAAGGTTATCCAGCAACAGTCAGTAAGCTTGGGAGCTGACATTGGCTAAGATGCCTGTATCCCACATGGGGTACCTGGGCTCAGAACCCAGCTCTGGCTCCTGGTACCCGCACCCGCCAAAGGAGATGCTGGGAGGCAGATGGGCATGGCTCAAGGAGGTGGGCCTCTGCCATGCATGTGGACAGTCTGGACTGAGTTCTCTGTTACTTTGATTCCAGCCAGGAGTTGCTGTGGACATATGAGGAGTCAACCAGTTAACGAAATAAGGAAAAGAGAAAGGGCTATTTGAAGAATCTGGTTACATGGCACAGTCACACTCACCCTCTATCTTCAAGGGAAGAGCAAAATTTGAACTGTCCCTGTATGTTGGCAGCAAGCTACCAGTACACAGGGAAACAAACACTAAAAAACCAAGCCAGAATGGGCTTCTTATGGACAGTTTGATTTTCTGATCCCTCTATAAATCAAACACCTTAAAAAATATTCTACTCATTTGCAGTGGGTAATGGCTCAAGTGCTTAGGTCCCTGCCATCCATTTGGTGGACTTGGATAGAGTTCCTGGGTCCTGGCTTTGGCCCCGCCAAGCCCAGCTGTTGTGGTCATCTAGGAATTAAACTGGTAGATAGAAGAGATCTCTCAATCTTGTCACTCTGCTTTTCAAATACACACATATTAAAAAACAAAAAGCAAATAGCATTGAACAGTCCAATAAATGGTGATAGCAGTAACAAACAAATAGTTCTAACAATCAAAGATTATATATATCATCATATATAATCTGAAAAAGCTGGAAAATGTCAACTGTGGCCATTTCTTTTTGGAGAGATTATGCATGAAATCAAGTTTTTCTGTTTTCCAATATTTAAATAATAACTATAAATTATTTAAAACATCAACTCGAATTTACTTAAGCACATGCATGCCAATGTTCCCCAGAAGCCATACAGTCTTTTCAGGGTCTGTCCCTAGCTTTTCTGTGCAGTGCTGGGGAGAAGGGCACCTCTGAGACCAGCCCGCCGGGACAAGCAGGGACAGCTCTGCCTTACCAGCTTCTTCCTGGGTCCAGACTCCATGTAGTAGGCATATGGATAGGTGTATTGCAGGGTGTATCGACACTGCAGGAAGAGAGAAGAGAAGGGACCTTTGTGATTCTAACCTACTTGTTCTTCAAGTGGTGCTTACAATTCTTGCCGCACCATGCAGAGTAACCTGGCTTCACAGAGAAGGGCTTGAAAGAAACAAAGCCAAGTCGAAGATATGACCTGGGGCAAGACACTGGGTAAACTGAAACCAGGATAATCCTAGAACCCTCCCTACCCCATTCCTTTCACAATCATGAAAGCATTGCTGCAACGCCTTTCCCCGTTTGAGGTGCACAGGACTCCACATACTTATCTCAACACCTCTCCCAAGACAACCCTTGCATTTTCCTTTGTTCGATGTGGGGATGGGACAGGAGGAGAAGAAAAGAGTTCTGGTACTGCCTACAGGAAGCTGCTGTCTGTCATGGGCACAGTGCAGGGAAAGGGACCCCTTGAAGAGAAACGTGTTAGGATGCTAAACACCCTTCAATCCCCACAAGGATACCCAGCCTCGGAAGTCTGCCCTGACAGGGCCAGGAAATGCAGTGGGAATCCCAAGAGCGAGATGATAAGTACCTTGGCCAAGAGCTTGGCAGCATTTTGTAGATATTGCCAGTCGATCCAAGTCCCAAGATTGTTCATAACCCTCTCTTGAATCTTTTCATGGATGCGCTGGTATGTCTGTGCTTCTAGCTGCAGGCTTTTGTTGTGGTTTTCCCACTAGAAAACAAAGAAAGGAGAAAACTGTAGAACTCTTGGCAACATACAGAGACTCAGAGTCCAGGACAGACCCATGGCTGGGAGGGTGTGGCCACAGACCTCCTCAAACTCAAGGGGAACAAGGGTGTCCTTAAATGTCCACTCTAACCCACAACAGCAGCTGCTTGCGTGTCAGGTCACCCCATCACATGCAGGCAATGGGACTCTCTTTCTCCCCACCCTAATCTGTTGTGTTTAGGACCAACTGTCACCCCCTGTAATGTTTGAAGGGTCTCCCTGGGGAAAATCATTTCTTAACTAAGAACAAAGTGGATGGGCCAGTGTTGTGATATAGTGGGTTAAACTGCCAGCATATAGATACCAGTCTGTGTTTCAGCTGCTCTATTTTCCTACTAGAAACCTGGAAAAAACAGTGCAAGGTGGACCAAGTGTTGTTTGAGGCCCTGCACTCACAGAGTAAACTCAGGTGGAACTCCTGCCTTTGCCCCAGCTCAGCCCTCACCAATGTGACCATCTGGGGAGTGCACCAGCAGATGAAAGATATCTCTTGTCTCTCCCTCTGTAACTGTTTCAGAAAAAAGGTATGGGAACAAAGAAATTGCCTAATGGCCTCTCACTGTCCTTCAATTCATCGTCTAACTGAAGTCAATATCCGTGACTTCCTGCCAGGAGTTTCATTGCCCAGGCAGGCTCAGGCTGCCAGTCAGCCCACCATACTGGGGCAGCCACAGGAAAGGATGCCTACCCTCTCAAAGTAGAACAAGTACTTCTTGAGGGCCTCCCTGGCCTGGGCCTGTTGGCTCTGGTTCACAATGTCAGGATTCTCCTTGTACCGACTGCACTCATAGTATTCACTGCCATGCGTCTTCCAATCTCCCAGACACATCCAGCAGAAGTCTGCACAGAACAAAGGGAGAGTCACTTACACCCGTAAGATGAACACACAAGGTAAAGGCAGTGGGATGGACACACTCTGCTCTGGAGGTGTCACCTGACGAGAACTTACCAGGTTCACCTCCTTCTAGAGGAAACAGAAAATCCTGCTATCTCTGCAGCCTGTCTTTGCTCTCAAGAGCAGAATCAACTATCCTGCAATCCCTTAGCACATGTGCTCTGCACCTTACTAATTCAACACAGGTATACAGGCAGGTGCTGACTACACCAAGACCACGGGCCCTTTGCATCAAAGCCTCGCAGAGGTAGAAACTTGTCCAAATGAGGTCTACTTGGTCATGTAGAAAACAGCATCTGTACACATCCCATCTCCCATCCTCTAACACTTGATTTAGAAAGATTTTCGTAAACAAAACTAGAAATAAAGGCATTTCCCCCTTTCTTAAAAAAAAAATTATCTATTTGAAAGAGGGGAGAAACAGAGAGGAGGAAAAGCATATGTGTGCATTTGCATTCTATCCTTTCGTTCACTCTAAAAAATGCCAAGGTTTGGTCAAAATGAAACCAGGAGACTAAACTTCATTTGGGCCTTCCATAAGGGCTATAGGCACGCAAGCTTCTGGCCCATCTCATGCTGGTTTCCCAGGTGCATTAGCTGGGAGGTGGATCAGAAATGAAGCATCCAGTACTCGCACACACACGATGCCAGCGTTCCCAGTATTAATTCACTGTACCACTATGCCAATCACACCCTCCCCCTATACGGGCACAATGATGGGGTAGGGATGGTAACATATCCATTTTCTATAGGTGGTCCACTCCCGAAATGACTTTTAGCAGCCAGGGTTGGGCCAGGCTGAGGCCACGAGCCAGGTATTTCATCCTGGTTTCCCACTAGGCAGAAGGAGCCCAGGCACCTGGGCAATCTTCTGCTGTGTTCCCAGGTGCAAGACCAGGAACTGGAATGAGAAGCAGAGCTTTGAGGACTCAAATCAGAACTCCAGTATGGAGTTGCAAGCACTGTAAGCAATGATGAACCTGCTGTGCTACAATGGTGGTCCTTTCTTTCTGCCCTTTAAAGAGCACAATTAAAATATACAGCTACTTTATAGATGCTATATACATGCACATAATCTCTAAATGATTTCTGCAGCCTAGTGGAATGGGGTCAACCATAGTTTGTTTGTTATGCCCAATATGTAGTTGCATATGATGTTTCTGTAGCGACTGTGACTATGAGAGGTAAACTGCTCCAGGTTCATGCTCATAACCTCAGCGACTTCACAGAGAAGCTCTTAGGCTGTAGGGAAGTTAAAGCCAAACCTAGAGACCCAAAGGTCATCCCATATGTCCTAACAGCCTCCCTCTCACAGTGGCAACCCTGTTCTCCCGCTTTTCAGCAGCTTGGTGCTTGCCATTGTTTCAGAGAATCACACACTGTTCAGCTCTGCTGCTTCCACAAGTATAAGTACACAGTAAAGTAAGGATCTGCAGTTAACCGTGCCTCTTGAGGGACGAGATCGACTAGGGAAAGGCAAATAAAGAAATTCTCAGAAACCGAGCATGGGCTGGGTCCTGGAGTCATCCTTCTTTATACACTGCACACATTATGCACTTTTCTGTCTCATTCACACAGAGGAAATAGGCCACTATCTTTGCTCTAGACCTCAGCTACTGTTTCTGTCTGGGACCTAGCAATGTCGATTTGATCACAGCAGGCTGCTAGGAACAGGATCAGCCTAGGCCCTTACTAAATGACACTCTCAGGGCCTCCTGAGACTCCTGAAGTAACTCTATTAACATACCTACATGGGGGCCTGGCACAGTAGCCTGATGGCTAAAGTCCTCGCCTTGCAGGCACCAGGATCCCATATGGGTGCCAGTTCTAATTCTGGCGGCCTTATCTCCCATCCAGCTCCCTGCTTCTGGCTTGGGAAAGCAGTTGAGGATGGCCTGAAGCCTCAGGATCCTGCATCTGTGTTGGGAGACCTGGAGGAGGCTTCAGGCTCCTGGCTTCGGATCAGCTCAGGTCCGGTCATTGCAGCCACTTGAGGAGTGAAATCAACGGACAGAAGATCTTTCTGTCTCTCCTCCTCTGTGTACATCTGACTTTCCAATAAAAATAAATAAATCTCTAAAAAAAAAAAAGAGAGATACCTACATGGAATATATTTTTCATGGAATAAAATTTTGTATCCTCGCTTTAGTGGCAGGAAGAAAAATAAAACCAACAGCTCAAGCTATATAAACTGCTCCTGATGGGGAGACCCAAAAAACAAACAAAACCCACGCTGGATATTTTATAAAACCTCGAGAAAAAGTTAATATTTTGCTACATCTTGTAAAACCTAAGGGTTCCTAGGATGGGTTCTGCTGTAACAATGCTTACAGCCTTAGTGCTTAGCTTCAAAGTTTGACTGTTTCCTGAGAATGAACGTCCTAGAAGACAGCAGGTACTCAAGTACTTTGTTTTCCGCCACCCACACAGACAAAGATGCAGCTCTCAGCTCCTGGCTTAGGTCTTATTCAGCCTTTTTTGTTGCAGCCACTTGTAGAGTAAACGAACAGATAGAATATTTCTGTCACTGTCTTTCAAACAAAACAAAAATACACATAAATGGAAAAGTAAGAATGAATCTATACATTACAATAGCTAAGACTCATGCTACTTACCTACCATGACAAAAAGAATAAAAAGAGCACAGTAACACCTTCTTGGATGACTGAGGATCAAGAGGGTCACCCCAATCTTGACTTCTATGTGTGTCAGCCAAGGTGGCAGAGGAATCAAAATATCATTTAAAATAAAATCAAGAGGAGGCTGCATGCTGCTTATGATTACTGTACAAGAAATGAAGTTCCCGTTGGCTATGTCATTTCATTTCAACAGGATTGAAAAGACGATCACCAGAGACCCAAGTTCAAGACCTACAGACTGGGCCCGGAGCAGTAGCCCAGTAGCTAAAGTCCTCTTCTTGCATGTGCCAAGATCCCACATGGGTGCTGGGATTTCAGCGACACCACTTCCTTTCCAGCTTCCTGCTTGTGGCCTTGGAAAGCAGTTGAGGATGGCCCAAAGCCTTGGGACCCTGCACCCACGTGGGAGACCTAGAAGAGGCTCTGGACTCCTAGCTTTGGATCAGCGCAGCTCCAGTTGTTGCGGCCTTTTGGGGAGTGAATCAGCAGACGGAATATCTTCCTCTCTGTATATCTGACTTTCCAATGAAAATAAATCTTAAAAAAAAAAAAAAAAAGACCCACAGACTGTGCCACTGGGCCTTCAGCGTCAGGCCTGGGACTCACCGTGTTTACACTTGGAGCATTGCTGTCGGGGGGAAACAGAAGAGAACATGTTAAGGGCATGCTGACCAAAGGCTCCACGTCACACATGCAAAGCGCACAGGCATCTGCTCACCATGTGATTGCAGCCTCCATTCTTCTCGATGCAGATGTTGCACTTGGGACACTGAGGAGACAGAAGGGCGCCATTAGGCTCACGCACCGTCAGGCTGGTCCTAAGACAAATTACACAAAGCTCCTGGTACCCGAGCCCAGAAGCTCATCGTGCGAGCACGTCTGGGGAAGAGCATCTCACTTAAGTGTGGCAGGACGCTGAGGCTGGAATAGCAATTCAAGGGAACGAGGTCAGCACATTTGGCTCTGAAACACTTCAAGCACCAGCCGAGCCCCACTAAGTCACGCACCATCTGTCCCTGCCAAGAAGCTGCTCAGATGATTCAGAAGGCCTTCCCACTTGGGAGGAGAGCCAGAGAAGCACAAGACCTGCCACGTTGGATTAAGGCCTGGTCAGCTTGCCCAGACTTCTGCTTCCAGAAGAGGATAAGCAGGCCACCATGAAGTTGCTCTTACTCACTGGACACACTGGCAACCCCACACAGCCAGGAACTGTAGCAGCAAGCCTCAGGTTCTGTCTGCTATTGCCATGAACTAGACTAGATTTAATGTCATGGTTGTACTCATGAGGGCACAGGGACAGGGAGCAGCAGCCCCTAGAACCTGCACGCCACATGTTCCCACAGGAAGCTTCAAAGAAAGAACTGGGCAGATGTGGGTTTGGATTATAGCCTTGTCATTATTATGGGTGATATTAACTACTTCTTTCCCAGGCTGTCAGGGTCTGGGTAAGCATTCTAATTAGTTCTCCTTTGGGTCAAATTGTTTCCAGTATCCTGGCATTTTATTAAAATCAATGTCATTGCATCCTAGATAAGTTGCTGCCAACTGGCCAGTCTGAATGAAAGAACAGGGGTCCACACTCCCCAGGGAGGGCCCTGGACTTGGCTTGCACTGCTATCAGACGACATGGCCCTGGGCAGAGCTAAGGAAGGCAGATCCCTGATGGGAAAGATTCAGTCCTTACGTCTTTAGTGTGGGCACTAATGTAGTTGGCCGTTTCAGAGTCGTCTGCACACTTCGTGAGCCATTTCCGGATTGTGGCGCAGTCTGTGGGGGCGTGATACATCTGACGACACTTGAAACTTAAAATTGGAAAAGAAAAACATTCAAATAAAATCAGAGTCTCATGTTTAAAAATGTCCTTTTGTCCAAACCTACAGATCCTGAATTCAAGCTTTATAAGCAGTCATCTCTCGAGGCCTGTTTGACCTTTATTAACAGAATAGTAAGTACCTGTTAGTACCTGAACATCTCTTCAACCTGAGCTCTTCAAAGGTATTTTCAATCTGCCCACATGGTTTCACTGTGTGTGGGGTTAATGCTATAGGAAAGACCATCACACTCAGAGCCCAGCCTCAGATGAGCTCCCCCAGGACTGCAAGTCTCACTTCCTCTCGCCTCACAAGGGGCATGAATGCCAAAACTGTTCAATCTGTAGTGTCATAACACATATTATGACACTGCTGGTGTTAGGCTCCTGTGCTCTTAGGCTACCTTTGACCCAAATCGACAATGGCATTATACCCATAGCAAATGCTCTCAGGCATAAGGCCAAATACAGGCTGCAGAGAAATTCATAATGTGGACAAAAGCAAAAGTGCAATGACATCAATTATTCTTAATGCTTGGTGGGCCACATTATGCAACAATGTCATAAAAGGCAGCATGCACACACATCCTGTTTTCCATAGAGCTTCCCTGAAGCCCTATCATGAATCATTTTGGGGAGCACAATTAGGACACATTTGGACCCGAGTCATGGCTCTCAACTCACATTTACCGGGGATACTTTTTCCAACCTAGAACATAATGTTAATGACAGCACCAATCATACATTGCACTGATGCAAGGAACGTGACTGGGATATTGTCTTTCTCCAGGGAAATCCTCTGTATACTTTATTCCCATGACACTTACTGAACGAGGTAAGTCTTGAGTAGATACAGAACACATTTATGAATTACAGTTTTACAAAAATCACTCAAGACAGCAAAAGATTTAAATGTTGAAGCTTGTATGTATGTGAATTTTCTGTGTAGGCAGACACCTACACAGATGACCTCTGGGCCACGAGTAGCCCACACAACGTCAGGTCTTCTCCAAGAATCTCCACTCACACATCTCCAGACAAACTGTTTACCAAACACCTTGTGCTGTGAAGCACACAGTTGAACACCGGGAGACCTGCTCTTCTGATTCTGACACACTCTGTCCACGCCTCTCCCACACAGAGCAGCAGCAGGAGTCCCTCAGTGGAGGTGGAAACGAGCTCAGCACTGCCCAGAGCTCACACTCACTCTTACCAGAAGACCTCGTTGCACCGATTGCACTGCACTCGGCGAGCTTTAGGTTCCTGCACTCGAATAACCATGGGGCAGTCTGCACCAGGGCACAGCTGGAGTTGATAATGACTCTGTGAACATATCACAGGAAAACAATGAGGACTTCCCATTGTTGCAGCCTCCAAATTAGACCCCCCACCGCCAACTTCTCAAATGCCCTGTGATTTTCCAACTAATTATGTGTATATCAAAGGAATATATAAAGTCAATCAGGAAGACCAGACATTCGCGAATAAGGAAGCCCACTGAATCTGGTTTAAACCAGGTAGTAGGGGCAGAAGCTGTAGCATAGTAGGTAAAACCACCATTTGTGACTACAGCATCCCTTGTGGGCACTGGTTCAAGTCTTGCTGTTCCACTTCCAATCCAGTTTCCTGCTACTGGCTGGGGAAGGCAGTGGAGTATGGCCCAGCTGCTTGGGCCCCATGTGGGAGACCTGGAGGAAGCTACTGGCTCCTGCTCAGCCCAGTTCCAGCTGTTGCGACCATTTGGGAAGTGGGCTAGCAGATTAAAGATCTTTCTCTGTCCCTGCCCACCTTCCTATAACACTGGTTTTCAAATAAATAAATTTTAAAATTCAAAACAAAACAAAACAAAAAAAAAACAAAGAAAAAAATCTAAAACCCAAAAGGGTCGTGATTCACAAGAATGATCTAAGATTATATTACAAATTAAAACACAGATCTCTGTTAAAAAAAAATGCATATTGATTAGGGTGGGAAAGAAACGCAGCCTAGGCAGCTGTGCATAAGACAACTCTTAGCTTAAACCTGGTATAGTCCTGGTCGCTGTGGCCAGGAGGGGAGTAAACCGAGAAGGTGAAAAATCTCTGTCCCCTTCTGGCATGATAGTGTAGCAGTTAAGGTGCTCGCCTTGAACGCACCGCCAGGATCCCATATGGGCACCGGTTCTATCCCGGCAGCTCCACTTGCCATCCAGCTCCCTGCTTGTGATCTGAAAAGCAGATGAGGACGGCCCAAAGTTTTGAGACCCTGCACCCGCATGGGAGACCCGGAAAGAAGTTTCTGGCTCCTGGCTTCGGATCGGCACAGCATCGGCCGTTGTGCTCACTTGGGGAGTGAATCATCGGACGGAAGATCTTCCTCTCTGTCTCTCCTCCTCTCTGTATATCTGATTTTCCAATAAATAAATAAATCTTAAAAATATATTAAAAAAAAGGGATATATATAGGACTTGGTGTTGCAGTCTACTGGCAAAGTCGTTTTCTTGCATGTGCCAGGATCCCATACGGGCACTGGATTGTGTACTGGCTGTTCCACTTCCCTTCCAGCTCTCTTCTTGTGCCCTGGGAAAGCAGTCGAGGACAGCCCAAAGCCTTGGGACCCTGCACTCAGTGGGAGACACAGAAGAAGCTCCTGATCACCTCCACTCTGGCCATGTGGCTAGTTGGGGAGTGAACCAAAAGACGGAAGATCTTACTCTCTGTATCTCCTTCTCTCTGTAAATCTGATTTTCCAATTAAAAAAAAAAATCTAAAACAAACAAAAAAATCTTTAAATAAAACAAACAGCAGTCCTTTCTTCTGAGTTGAGTCACAGAGTAAAATGAAAGAACAGCAATTCCTGAAATACCCCTGACTGACATGAAGCGCTTTATTGAAGCAACTGCATATATAAGGTGGAAATATCTTGCTACATCCTACATAAGAGAAACCCCAAGACCCTGGGGAGCTAAAATAATGGGTCAAAGGTCACAACCAAGACCTGGGGATCTCACAATGATTTGTCTAATTCCAGTGACTGTTTTTCACTATACTGCAGTGGTTTTTCAAATAGTTAAAATTAGAGAAAGAGAGAAGTCTTCCAACTGCTGATTTACTCCCCATGTGGCTGCTATGGCCAGGGCTGGGCTTGTCAGAAGCTGGGAGCCAGGAGCTTCGTCTGGGTCTTCCACATGAGGTCAGGGGTGCAAGCACTTGAGTAATTTTGTGCTACTTTCCCAGGCCATTAATAGGGAGCTGACAGGACACAAAGTAGAGTTGCCAGGACACAAATTGGCACCCATGTGGGATGCTAGAGCCATGGGCTAAGGGTTAGCTTCATAGGCCATTTTTCTGGCACCTGTACTGGTTTCAAACTCCTTTAAAGCTATGGAGCTCCTTTTTTAAAAGTTCAGTATCTAATGGCATATTTAGTATATTTGGTAAGTAACAAAGGTGACTATGTGATGCAAGGTAAGTCCACAAAGATGTAGGGCAGAACAATGTAGGGCAGAGTGAGGCCATACCTCCACATAGTCCCTGAAGAGGTAGCGCCTGTATTTGTCTCTCAGGTCTTCATTGGGAAGCAAGGGATACACAAAGTCCTCTGGTGTACGAAGGGGACAGTCCTGAGCCATACAAGAGACTCCTATTGAACAAAAACATCCTGCTGGACAACTGTGTTGTAGAAGCCCCAGTAACAATCTTGTCCACTGTATTAAACCAACAAACTCAGATTCTGTAAGAAACTTTTTAAGCAGCAGAATTTATTTCAGGAGGAAATAAATGAACATTTTTGCAATGATGCAGCTAAAATATATCTTAAGTAGTATATATACCAATAACATTACTAAATCATAAAATATTAAAAATTCTTGTATAAAGCTTATCAATTTTCATTTTTGACTTTTAATATTATGTGTACATGATCATCACTAAGGAATACCAAATATTGTTAAGTCATAGAATACTCCTATAAATAGAACATCACATCTGATTCGTGCTGTTATCTAAATGATAGCAATCTCTCCTGCATATTACTGAGTCACAGCTACTACTTGGAGAAGCAATATAGTATAGGCAACTTAAAAATGCCTAATTCTCTTAAAAGGGGAGAGAACATGGCTTTGCACACCTATAAGTATTTACAAAAAAAGTCTTCAACTTTCTCATTTTGTAGAGGATTTGGGAAGACTCTGCTACAGCTTGGAAACCTCCAGGTCTGACAATATAAGCCTAATCAGGCCTAGAAGGAAGATACAGTCAAGGGTAACACTTGATGCTCCACGTTCAGAAGTTCTGTGGCAGACTCACCCACGCCCACGCCATCCTTGACAAGCACTGAGCAGTGCTGCTCCCAGCAGCTGCGGCAAAACTGGTGTTGACAGGCCAAAGAAAGCAGGTTTTCCTTCCGTACAAACTGCATACACACTGCACAATGGTGAGGGGGATGGGAAGGGGGAACCTGGGAAGAAGCAGAGGCACATGAACCAAAAGGAGGCTGCAAGTTGGGAGGGGCACAGAGGGCCTCATCAAGTTGGGGTATATGATTCTGAATCCCAAGTACACTGAACACAAAGCACACACCAAGAAGGCTTCATCAAACAGGTGGCACCTAAGCTGGGCTTATATATCACTAGGATTCAGGGCACAGAAAATTGGAATAAAAATGTTCAATAGAGGTTTACAATGTCAAGGCTGAAAACTCAGGCTTTCCTAATTGCTGAAGTCCTGGGAGGTCATTTTACTCCAACTTTTTTTGGAGGCTCTTTAGTTCCCTTTGTTAGCAAGCTGCCCTGCTCAACACCACAGAGTTGCCCACCAGCAAGTCAGTCTCAAGTACATGGGCACAATGGTTGAACAAAAGAAGTGTGCTCTCTCGTTTATATAGGGTGCTGCAGAAAACCTTTCTTTTATTAGGCTATGGAAATCACATAGTGACCTAAGCTCCCATCATCCCTAACAGTACTAATATGGATCTCATTCAAAAAAATACAGAGCGAATGTATGTTCCAAATGGCCTAGTGGCTGAAGTCCTTGCCTTGAAAGCACTGGAATCCCATATGGGTGTGGGTTCTAATCCTGCTAGCCCCACTTCCCATTCAGCTCCCTGCCTGTAGCCTGGGAAAGCAGTCGAGGACAGTCCAAAGCCTTGGGACCTTGCACTCATGTGGGAGACCTGGAAGAATTCCTGGCTTCAGATCGGCACAGCACTGGCCATTGTGGTCACTTAGCGAGTGAATCCTTGGATAGAAGATATTTCTGCCTCTCCTCCTTTCTCTATATATCTGACTTTGCAATAAAAATAAATAAATCTTAAAAAAAAAAAAAAAAAAAAAGACAAGTCCAGAGACCGGTGCAATAGCGTAGCAGCTAAAGTCCTCGCCTTGAACGTGCCAAGATCCCATATGAGGGCCAGTTCTAATCCCCGCAGCTCCACTTACTATCTAGCTTTCTGCTTATGGTCTGGGGAAGCAGTTGAGCAAGGCTCAAAGCCTTGGGACCCTGCACCCAAATGGGAAACCTGGAAGAGGCTCCTGCTCCTGGCTTTAAATTGGCTCAGCTCCAGCTGTTACAGCCACTTGGACAGGGAATAATTGGTTGGAACATCTTCCTCTCTGTCTCTTCTCCTCTCTGTATATCTGCCTTTCCAGTAAAAATAAATAAATCTTTAAAAAATAAATCTTTAATAAATAAACAAACAAATAAAAGTCCATTCCTACCAGAAATGACAGGGACATAACCTAGAGATCCTGGCCAGAGAAGATAGGAGCAGTCAGAGCAACTATGCAGAGACAGAAGGTAAAGCTGGAGCAGACCTTCCAGACAATGGCGTACAATCTACCCATCAGGAACAATGCCAGATTTTAGCAAAAGAGGAATACTCAGCCCTATACTGAACAAAATTTCAGGGTCTGTTGTCATATACAAAGCAGAGATGGTTCTCGATACTGCAAGTCAGGGCAGAAGGTAAGTGCTGGGGAAAGTCTTACTTGAGTAGGGGACACTTACATGTTTTGATGGATGAGGCTGAACTCGAGCTTCTACAAGCAGCTGAGCAGAATTGGACTTATATCTACAAAACAAAAAGCAGAAACACAGGGAATTAGAAGCTGAAGATATCTTTTTGCTTAGAACAACAGCATGGACCACTCTGTTGTGGTCACACTAAAGTATTTGTGTCTAATCTCCTCTCCTCACAGAACCAAGCTTCTTTTTCCTTCAGGACAAAAACTTCTGTATATTGCAGGTATTTTCCCTAGAGGTTAAGAAGATGGCTAAGACCCTTCCCATCCTAATCAGTAGTCTACATAGGCATGCATCCTTTTCAACTAAGTAAGCACCATCCTTAGAAAAAGAAAGAAAAATAAACAAGAAAATCAGCAGTAGCTGACTAACATAGCTGAGTCCTATACTGGAGCTCTAAGCGCCACATGTGGTTCTGCTTTTAGCTCCAGCTTTTTGTTAATTCGGACCTGGAGAGGCAGTGGTGAATGTCTCAAGCGGTTGCATCCTTGCTGCCCATGTGAGAGACCTGTCACCTAGCTCCGGCTGGCTGATCCAGTCCTGGCTATTGCACACTGTCTCTCTGCCTCGCAAATGAATAAATAAAAACCAGTAAGATTTGCATTTCAATTTTTAGCTCTCAATTTGTCTAAGAAAAATAACCCTGGTTCAAAGGCACTGTAAGAAAAATGGTTACGATGGACTAGATCTGCTTTGAAAATTTAGCTGGAATATCCCAAGAAACAATTCTGTTTTCAGAATAGGATAGAATTTCTCAAGACACATAAAGGTCAAAAAAGGTGATATTTTTCAAAATACACTACAAAAAAACGCACTATACATTTAACTTCAAGCCATGTCATAAACTAGATAATTCCATATAAACTGGCAAAGGATTAGGAGTGGCAGAAAAGGAAAACTTTAAGACAACCCCTGGTCCCTACTGCCAGGGGTTCTTGGCTGCCCCACTTGAGCCCTATCAACATCTCGGTGGGGAAAAAGATCCCTTAACCACCCTCCCAGTTTTTTTGTTCCTCCGACAGGTTAAGTTCTGTGAGGTTTTCCTGGTTCACGTGTTTTGGAGGGTTTGGAGAGGTAGGTGTTCAGACTCCTCTGGGCTAGAGTGAGATAAGGATCTGGGAAGCATGTCCTGGGGGATCCTCAAGGTCCCTTTTGTTGGGAAGGGTGATGATTTGGATTTGAAAGGTTGTGGGAGGTGCTCTTGGAAGGGACAGAAGCTGAAACTGGATGGTCCCTACTACCTGCTCCTCCATGAGTTTGCAGTCCCTTGCCAACAACTTTCCACATTTTTAAAAAGACACTTTGATTTTTTTTCAAATCTGTACAGCAACAGCAACTTTTTCTAGCAAATAAAAATGAAAAATGCAGGGGAAAAAACAACGAAAATGGGTAAAAGAGTTAACTGGCATCAGAGGGTAGCAGACACCCATTAAACAGAAAAATCTCCTTCACAACTAGGGACACTGAGAATGATTAAATACTAGTTATACCTATCAATTGCAAAATTAAGTCAGAGAGTAGGAGGAACACTCAAATAACACTAATGTAAGTATGAAGTGATCCGACCACTTTAGAAAACAGTTCGGCATTATCTAGTAATGTTGAAGATAGCACACACACTGTCACTACTCAGCCCTAGAAAGTTCTGTGGCACCGGAAGACACCTACCCGAGTTTGCAGAGCTGCATTACTTTAGTAGCAAGGCTAAAAATCCACAACTCTTTATTGACAGGAGGCTAAACACCCTTTGACAGAATGACAAAATGGAACTATGTTACTTTAAAAGCTAAAGAACACATACAGCATATATCCAGGTTTATCATATTCCAAAAATATACAAATAAAAGATATAATTTAGGAGTAAGTAAGAAATTGAGCAACACTGATTTCAAGACACCAGTTGCCTTAGAGAATGAAGAACAGGAGGCAGCCAGGAAAGGATTGTCATCAGAGGCCTCGGAGTAAAGCTGAGGGTGTCTTATTTGAGGACACTAGAGTGCTTATTATTCCTTAAAGCTGACATACACATACACTTAAAAGAAAATACATGATCTTGGAGCCAGCATTATGGTGTTCTGCTGGGTAAACTGCTGCCTGCAGCACCAGTATCCCATACGGACGGCAGTTCAGTTCAAGGCTATGCCACTTCTGATCCAGCTCTCTGCTACGGTGCCCAAGAATGCAGTGGGAGATGGCCCAAGTACTTGCATCCCTGGACCCATGTGGGAAACCTGAAGAGAACCCTGGCGCCGGAACAGCCCAGCTGCAGCTACTATGGTCATTAAGATTGGTTAAGATTGGATGGGATCTTTTTTATCTTTGTCTCTCCTGCTCTAATTCTTTCAAAAAATAAATCTCTTTAAGAAAAAAATACATGCTCGGGATTTTACTCTGTTGGCTCTGCCTTCAGACCAGAGAAGGTCTCCCTAAGAAATCGTCGAACTTATCTGGACGATAAGATGATGGACTCTACGCTTGGTATATGCTTACAATGAAGGAATCTCAACTGAACTTGAACTGTGGTTACGCAGCAAGGTGGAGGAAACCACCATGGGGGAAGGGTTATGGGAGGGGTGGGAGGAATCCCAGTACCTATGGAACTGTGTCACATAATACAATGTTATGAATAATTTTAAAAAACATGCTTTCTCAGAATAAAAACTTAATTCCATTATGAAATAAGTTGTGGCATAAATACATTAAAAACTAAAAACAAGGGCAAGCATTTGGCACGATGACTGGGTCATTGCTTGGGCTATCTATACCCCAAGTCCAAGTGCCTTTAAGCCCTAACTCTAACTGCTACAGGCATTCTGCGAGGCAGCAAGAGCTGGCTCATGAACGAGGCCCCTACCATCCACATGGGAGACTTCAACTGAATTCTGGACTCCTGGCTTTAGTCTGGCTCAGCTCTAGCTGTAGGCATTCAAGGAGTGAATTTGAAGATGGAAGGTGTTTCCCTTTCAAAAGAATAAAGAAGAAAGTAAATAAAAGTACCACACAAAGCCAAGGTAATCACATTTTCAAAACAGGAGGATTTGAAACAAAAAGGAATTATGTCTTGGGGCCACTATTATGATGTAGCAGCAAATCTGAGGTCACCTGCGATGCTGGCATTCTACATGGATACCTGCTCATGTCTCAGCTATTCCATCTCTGATCTAGCACCCTTCTGAAGTGCCTGAGTCCTTGCTACTCACATGAGGGATTTGGAAGAAGCTCCTGGTTCCGGCCTGGTCGAACCCTGGCCACTGCAGCCACCTGAGGGGTGAACCAATGTGGGTGTACTCTCGCCCTCTAACTCTGACTTCCAAATACATACATGTATTTTTAAAAAGCCAAAATCTGTCTCATCTAAGTGATTTATCTGGAATGTTTTAACTATTCTAATTGAAAAGATCCATTTCATTCCAGTTCCTGCTCCAGTATTCTAAATATCATTAACTGTTCAAATCTTTATGCTAGAATCTGGGTGGAGATTAGAGTTACATTCCAGGACCTGGCTCGATGGTTCAGTGGCTAAATCCTCACCTTCCTTAAATGCAGTAGGATCCCACATGGGCACCAGTTCATGTCCCAGCTGCTCCACTTCCCATCCAGCTCCCTGCATGCTGCCTGGAAAACAGGGGAAGATGGCCCAAAGCCTTGGTACCCTGCACCCGTGTGGGAGAACCACAGGAGGCGCAAAGCTCCTGGCTCTGGAGCGGCTCAGCTATGGTTGTTTTGTCACTAGGAGAGTGAACCAGTGGATGGAAGGTGTTTCTGTCTCTCCTTTTCTCTGTAAATTTGCCTTTCCAATAAAAATAAATCTTAAAAAAAGAAAAGAAAAAGAAAAGAAAAAAGAATTACACTCCAGTTTCTGAGTATAGCACAAGAATGCAATTGGACAGTCAGGCCGCTGCTCCTTGTCGAAGTGCTGAGCTACTCTGGCATGTATGGCCACCTTTGTTGTGTTTTGCCCAGAGAAGAAAAGGCATGGTCTTCCTCTGGAGATACACAAGTGGAATCACACCATAAAGAGAAAGGAAGCTGGAGTTACTAGTGTTTTCCACATAGATGAGTTTGGCTCCCAAGAGGTAATTGGATAATGTCTGAAGATATTCTTGACTATCAATGATTTTTTTTTAACAATTTATTTTTATTGGAAAGTAAGACACACAGAAAGGATCAGGGACAGAGAGGAAGATCTTCCATCTGATGGTTCACTCCTGAAGTGGCCTCAATGGCTGGAGCTGAGCCAATCTGAAGCCAGGAGCCAGGAGTTTCTTCCAGGTCTCCCATGCAGGTGCAGGGTCCCAAGGCTTTGGGTCATCCTCGACTGCTTTTTCAGGCCACAAGCAGAGAGGTGGATGGGGACTGGGACTGCCGGGATTAGTACTGGCGCCCATATGGAATCCTGGCACATTCAAGGCAAGGATTTTAGCCATTAGGCTACCATGCTGCGCCCAACTAAATAAGGACTTACACATGCCACTGCTACAGATACGCAGCAGGCAGAGTCCAAGACACTACCAAATATCCTAAATTGCACTTCAGAGCAAGAATTATCCCAAAGTGGCCACAGTTCAGAAGACAAGAAACACTAAGCTTAACAGAAGCAATATGACTTTGAGGGTGAATGCGGGAGAAAGGAACCCTCTTCCCAACAACATCCAAGACACCCTGACACTTTACGGCTGCGCCTAAAGAGCTCTGTTGTGGAGGAGGCAGAAACAACACTCTAATGTCCTGCTCACAGATGTGATGAATGCCACACAGCAGCAGATCTCTGAAGGAACTATGCCCTGGATTATGATGCACTACTCATATGATAAATCCAAGAGAAATAACAAGACGTTGGCAAGTGCTAAGTACAAGGGCACTGATTAGATCATAAAATTGGAAGTAACTTCACTGCCCAACAAAAGTTTGGAAAAAAAAAATCAGGAACATCTAATAAGACAAACTACTAAGGTAGCATTAAAGCTGGGGAAGAATATGCTGCAGAAGTCGGAAAATGTTCACAATATATTAAGGATGTACAATACAAATCCAGGGCTCAAAAACTGTAATAGGCTTATTGGAAAACTATGCTCCAAAACATAAACAATAATCACCACTGGGTGCAAGGGCAGAGAGGAGAGCTACAGGCAATGTCATCTCCCCTCTCCCAAATGCCTTACCTGTCCAAAATCTCTGAGACTTGCCAGTGGAAATTAACTAATATAAGTTTAGCAACTGAATGAGATACCTAAAATGAAGAAGAAAAAAATCAAATTATAACTGTAGTTTCTTTGAGAGTACTCCACATTTTTGAGAAATGCATACATTCATGTCTATGTCAGGCCCAGGTTTGATTTTCAAATTCTTCCTTCTGATTCTGTTTTTGTTTTTCAAGTCCATAATCTTATCAAATTTAAGATTTTACAGATCTCTTGATTTTCTCTCTCATTTCATTAATAGCCTTTCAACAAAATCAGTTTCATTTGAAATTTCAAAGTTACTCCTTTTGTAATAAACAAAAATGTGGCATCCAACATAAACAAAAGAACTGTGGGTTTCCCAATGTGATACACAAGGGAATTTCAAAAAGTTCTTGTAAAAATGAAACTAAAAGATAAATTAGCTTTGCTGCAAAAATTTTGAAATCCATTCATGGTTTTGCATAATATGTAATTTCCACTAATTTTTTTGACTTCTTTATGGTCGGTTTTCTAACACTTTTTGTAACAAAATGAACCACTAATCTAATTTTTACACAAACTTTTTGAAGTACCCTTTTATATTTTCTCAGGTTGCTCTTGAAGGCACAAGGAAGCACACCTATAGTTTCTTTAGGTCTGCTACTTGCAGAACACTGTCAGGCCAGAACCTCTTTATATAAATTCCACAAAAACAAAACAAATAAAAAACGTCTTTAAAATCTCTGAATCCCTACAGCCAACAGGCCCTACCTGTGCATACAATTTAAAAGTTTGTGGGCAGCTAAGGGACCTTTAACGCACATGACTGTAGGCACCAAAGAGCCTGAGAAGCTAACAATCTTAATTCTACAAATTCCTCCTGAGCAAATGACTGAAGGCATGTGCACTGAAGGTTATTCCCAATAGCAGAATGGCAATAACCTAAATGTTCAGTAAAAATGAACCCAGGTAAATCACATGACAGTTGCATGCAAAGTATACTACTATGTATACTTGAAATAGAAAGAAGTTCATCTTCCAATGAAGCACATTGTGGGCGCCAGCATTATGGCTCAACAGGTTAAACCACAGCTTGCAACACCAGTATTCCACACTGGAATGCCAGCTTTAGTACCAGCTGCTTTACGTCCCCATCCAGCCTCCTGTTAATGTTCATGGGAAGGCAGCAGAACTGCAATCCACATGGGAGACCTGGACAGTTTCTGCCTCTTGGTGTCGCCCAGGTCTGGTCTGGGGAGGCTACAGCCATTTGGGGATGGAAGATTGTGTGTGTGTATATTCTTTTTCTTTTAAAGATTTATTTATTTTATTGGAAAGACAGATATACACAGAGGAGAGACAGAGAGGAAGATCTTCTGTTCGATGGTTCACTCCCCAAGTGACCACAACAGTTGGAGCAGAGCCAATCCGAAGCCAGGAGCCAGGAACTCTTCCAGCTCTCCCACATAGGTGCAGGGTCCCAAGGGTTTTTTGAGGCCGTCCTCAACTGCTTTTCCAGGCCACAAGCAGGGAGCTGGATAGGAAGCAGGACTGCCAGGATTAGAACTGGCACCCATATGGGATCCTGGTGCAAGGCGAGGAGGACTTTAACCACTATGCTATCGTGCCAGGCCCATGTGTACTCTCTCTTACTCAGACTTTCAAATCAGTAAATAAACACATCTTAAAAAAAAAAGAACCAGTAAGACAGCATCTACATATTATAGTCATATCTTCACTGGGAAGCAGGCTACTTACAAAACTAAGTGCATCAACTGTTGATATTAGGGTGGGATCACACAAGGTATGTTTGGAGGCCTACATCAGGCATCCCAGAGAGAGGACAGCAAGGCATGAAGGTGCTACTGAATCAAGGAGAAACAAGACGCATACTTAAACTAAGGAGCCAAGAAAACACACTGAAATTTGGTCCTCTGTCACTGTGTCCTTAAACAGCTGCTACTAAGAGCCTGTAAGATGGTGATGGTTCACAGATAAGTAGAGGGAAAGATACCCAGCAATCAATATGTGATCTCCTACCCACAGAGCTCAAGACACTCCAAAAAAGATACAGGTACCCCCCCTACCAAACAAGTTACTGTCAATAACACTTGGTGGGGGCAACACAGTGGCTTACTAGGTTGATTTTTTAATCTACCAGCGCAAGATCCCATATGGATGCCAGGAGCCATGAGACCCAGCTGCTCACTTCCAATCCCTGCTTTGGCCTAGGAAAGCAACAGGGGATGACTCAGGTGCGTAGGCCCATTTTCTGAAGTGGGAGATCCAGAGAAAGCTCCTGGTTTGCTCCTGGTTTCAGATTGGCGCAGCTCTGGACATTGTAGCCATTTGGGGGCTGAACCAGCAGATAAAAGTCTCTCAGTTTCTCCTCTCTATAAATCTGTCTTTTGTTAAACTAATATAAAATAAAAATTTTAAAAACAAAGGAAAGAAAAAGGAAAAAAAAAAAGAAAAAAGCATTTGGTGCCCTATACCCAAATACATCTGAGAAAATCAAGGACTGATGGTAGCTAACATAACTTGGGGCATGAGTTCCCACTTCCCTTCCATGTTAGGCAGCAGACATATGGCAACAGTACTTGCTTGCAGAGACCAAAGAATTACACCAGGAAAATGTAGACTCTTCCTGTAAGCTTTCTTTTTAAAGATTTATTTATTTTACTTGAAAGTCAAGAGTTACAGAAAGAGAAGGACAGACTGAGAGAGAGAGATCTACCTGCTGAATCATTCCCCAAGTGGCAGCAACGGTTGAAGCTGAGTCGATTCAAAGTCAGGAGCCAAAAGCTTCTTTGGGGTCTCCCATATGGATGCAAGGGCCCAAACAGTTGGGCCATCTTCTGTTGCTTTTCCAGGCCATTAGAAAGGAGCTGGATTGAAAGACAGATAGCTGGGACTTGTTTGGTACCCATATGGGATGTCAGTGTGACGGCAAAGGACCTGTCTTGCCATGCCACCTTGTTGGCCCCATAAACTTTTTTTTTTTAATTTATTTTCTTTGAAACTCAGAATTACAGGGTTGGGGGAGGAGAAAGTAAGAGAGAGATCTTTTATCAGACGGTACATTCCCCAAATGGCTGTCAGGCCCAGCACTGGGCAAGTTCAAAGCTGGAGCCAGAAGCTTCTTTGGGTCTCCTACACAGCTGTGCAGGGGTAAGGACTTGGGTCATCCTCCACTGCCTTCCAAGGCCATTAGCAGGGAGCTGGATCAGAAGCAGAGCAGTAGAAACACAAAATAGTGCATTTATGGGATGCCACTACCTGGCATTCTGCTAGTTACTCTTTTTCTAACTCTTTAAAATAAATAAATTTAAAAAAAAAATTTTTTTAAAAGAACTCCCCAATGCCAAATCCAAAACACACCCTCATGCTTTATAACAATGGGACAATCTGCAACTTATAATCCTCAGGGTGGCATCTCAGAGTACACCAGTAGAATGCCCACTGTTCCTCCTCAGGGCAGCACCACATTCCCATATTCCTCACACATAACCCTAGGCCTCTTCCCCAACTCTTTATCCTCCACTCCCTCAGAAAGGACTCACTATCACCTGGAGATGAAGGGCATCTCTATCTGTCAGGTCATTCCCCAAATGACTAACAGCCAGAACTGGATCATTTTGAAGCCAGAAGCTTCAAAATGGGATCCATCTTGTGCGATCCCAGGGCATAAACAGGAAGCTAGATCAGAAGTGGAGTGGCTGGGACTCAAACTAGCACCCATGTGGGATGTTGGTGCTGCAGGCAAAGGCTTAGTCTGATATTCCACGGCGCAGGCCCCAGAAGGGATCTTAATGGGTATGTCTGCTTATTGTGTAGACCCCTCTACTCAGTTACTCTCTGGATGATCTTCCCAATGAACCAATGTAACATTAATAGTAACAGACAAACACTTACAGAGCCCTTAAATACCGCCAGGATCACTTCTTACCTTGTTCAAAACCTACCACTTCTGTCAGTACTAACAGGAGGAACTGTACACCTAAGCAGAAAGGTCATCTGAACTCACTGATGAAACACATACATACACACAAACCTCCACAGAGTACACAAGCAGAATGCCGGACTCCAGCATCCCTCAGATCTTCTCTGTTCCTATCAATAACACCTTTCTTCTAGCAATATATGAAAATTAAATACTCTCAAAGAATCAAAATGTCAAATCAGAATCACAAGAGAAAGAAAAAACTATGGACACTCCTCTACTGGGCTGCAGCTCCCACTGGTGAGCATGAGAGCCAGGACTGGGGATGGACCAGGTTGTACAAGCTGGCAGCACCCATCGGCATACATAGGGACTGCATTGCGGGTGTGGTGGCCTGCACTAAGCTGCAACATCCATAGGTATAAACTAGAGCCCAAGCTGGATGCAGCAGAGACCAGACCAGTCTGTTGCACATACGGACACACACAGAAAACAAGGCTAGGGCAAGCCTGGTAGGGCAATTAACTGCTGCCAACTAGGCAGCAGTTCCGGCTGGTATGTGTGAGGGCCAGGTCTGTGGCAACCTAGGTTTAGCTAGGCCATAGCACACATTTCTTTGCACAGGACATGGGGCTGGGGATGGAACTGACCAGGCAACTGCAATTACCAGTGTGTGCATAGTCTTATGTGCAGGATGGACTGAACCGGACCCTGTAGTGGCCAGCACATCCAACAATGAGGTCTGAGGTCACTCCAGGTGAGGATTCTTGGGAGATTCCACAACTGGGCCACTGGACTTAAAGCTCCAGCCACAAAAAAGATCACAGAGACTAGTGGTCCAACCTTGGAATGCATGTGTCAGGCCCAAGGCTCAACTGCTGAAGTTCATGCAGCAGACGGAATGCCTAAGTACATAAGGGGGACAAGACAGCAAGCTCATTTAGCCCAGCAGAGGATGTCAAGCACCAAGTCAGGACATGGAGAGTGGAGAACAGAATGGGTTGGACAACTCTTTTGTGTCAGTTTTGGCAGCAACAGTCTGGGTGAGTAGGTGCCCTAAGGTGGAATCTGTCAGCTCAATGGATTTTGGGAAGATTTTCTCAACCTGGGAGCAACGAAATCAAA